ATATTGAAGAAGAGAGGAGAGAGAATGGGGGAAAGGGGGCAGCACAGTGTGATGATAATTCGTTCTTGGTTTGGGTTGCAGAATCAGAAAGAATGCAGAAAATATATGGATATTCTCTCAGTCCGGGTCATGATGAGGGACATATTGTACCTTGGCTTCGGCTTGTGGGTAGCCAGTAGGGGCAGTTTTAGCTGCTTATTTAGTAAATGCGTTTTGTCCTCCCACCCCCAGACAGCCCCAGCTCTCACAAATTAACTTCCCCTTCTCAATTACTTGCTTTATTATTTCAAAAAAATATTTGTATTTAATGGATGGTAGGCAAAGTAATATTAACAAATATTTTGTATTTAATGCAGTATTTTAACAAATGTCATTAGACATTGATTAATGTTTCTTTATTTATTAATAATTAATTAATTAAAATTAATCTTTTTGATTAATAGATTTTGAGTTTAAATTATATCGATGATTATTTATTAAAGTCATCTTAAATATATAATTTGTAACTATTTATTTTAAATTAAATATGATACATCTTATTTTTATTTAAAATTTTGAATAATTTATCTATTTTAAAATTTTTTTATCAAAATTTTTTTTCTATTTAAATTTTTATTTTTAATATAATAATTGATAGTTAATTTGATAAAATTTAATATATTGATAAAAATTTATCTAATATAATAATCTTAAAAAAATACTCTTAAACAATTTGTTAACAAAATCTTTTATTTATTTTTTATCTAATACACATTCCACATTATTTTCTGTCTGAAAATATTGCAAGGCGTTTTTTTTTTTTTTACATTATAATATCATATAAAACATTAATTATGATATGTTTATACATCATAAGAATATACTATACTTTTAACCCTAACCGGCTCTTAGAAGGAAGAAAACAAGCTACTAATTTCCAGCTAAGTAGTTCAACAGCCGTAATGTCTTTTTTTTTTTTAATTTGAAATTGTCAAAATTAAAATTTAATTATTAAAATTAAAATTTTAATAGTTATTAATGATAAAAATGTTAAATATAAGTGTCAACGAAACAGGGATTTGATTTTTTGTCGGCTTGGTTAATGGATTTGTTTGATGATAGGATTAAATTGCACATAGGTTGAGTTCATTGTGGCAGAAAAAATTTTTTAGGTGTGAATTGTCTGAATCGAGACATCATTTGAGATAGGTTTTATGCAAGCATAATTTTATTGTCAATCCTGTTAGATAAACTCGTGAGTTAAAGCTTGAATTAATTGATCAATTTCGTGGAATTTTTTTAATTGATGTTGATAATGTTGTCCTAATCAATTTGAATTACTTATCCTCTCAAGTACCATTGACACACGTTAAGTGAGTAGAGAATTTGATTAATTCAAGATAAATTATTTTGACATAAGATCTTAAAAAATTTTAATTAATTTATATAATTATTTTAAAAAATAAAATTTAATATTTAATATTTAAAATTTTTTTTCATATTTTTAAACTACGATCTCTCTCGAATAAATATATATATATTGTCTCAAATTATTAATCGAATCTTCTTAATCTTAATTATTACATTTTACACATCATTTTTTAAAAATAATTCCGTGAATTATTTTTGAATAAATTAAAAAAAATCATATTTAAGAACTATAATAATTCGTGATTCAATAGTATATTGACTTTGATTCCTTATTAATCAATAATTTGGAACCATTAATATGATTAAAACCAAGCCGTTTGAAGTTTAGATGAAATAGAGTACTTTTTCTACTACTATATTAATAAATATAAAAATATTTTCAAAACATTTAGGAATAAATAATTATATTACTCTTTATATTAACTTAAATCGTTTGAAATTTAAGTATGAGTTTTATTGACGAGATTTTAAGAGCATATTTAAGGTTAGTTAATTTATTATTTATAAAATATTTTTATATTAAATTCAATAATTGATAGCTAATTTCAATGTATTAACAAAAAGCTAATATCAAATATAAGAAAAGTAAAGGATGCTTTAGGATTTATGAATATGCTAAACATATTACATTAGAAAAAAATTATCTAATATTCTTGAAGGATGCTATTTTTTATAATATGAGGAGGGTATTTTCGATTATTATAAAATTTTTGGTGAATTAATATAAAAAGAAAAAGGGAAAAAAATTGGTGAATTACAATGGTATAGGAAATGTTGCTGTTTGTCCAATAGTCGGCACCGGCTCCACAAGGAAAAGTAAAGTACTGGAAATAACGTGATTGATTTGATAAATGAGGGACTCAATTCTCAATCTAAATTTTCCTTATTCCCAAAATTCCATATACGGAAACCTATTTATCAGCTGCTCCCACTTACGTGTTCCTCTCTCTCACTCCATCACCGTTGATTTTTTCTTCGAGATCTGGTTCCTTTGCAACGCTATTTGGAAAATTGACGGTATAGATCTTTCCTACCATCTACGACATTTGTCTTCTTTGGGCTTTCACGTCAAATTTGTCTCTATTGTTGACTTTGTCCATTTCCATTTTTTTTTAAATATTTACATTCTATTTACAATTTAGCACTTTTTTATCAAGTTTATACAAAGAAATATGGATTTATTCAAATTCCACATGGTTTGAAACTTCTAAAATTTAATTTTTTATATTTAAAATTACCGACAAATTATATCATTGTTGACTAAAACCTCTTATTTATCATTAAGCTAAGACTTCATCAACGCTATAAAATCAATTTTAAAATAAAAAATTAAATCCATCGATATTGAAGAGATTATAATAGTTTTATTTAGATATATCAATAAATCAAATCAAGTACAATTGATTCAAAATTTGTCTAAAACTTTGCCCATTTTAAAGAATTAATTTTTTTAATATTAAAAAATAAAATATTATTATTTAATATTTTAAAATAAATACAAATAATATTTATTAATTAAATAATATATCGAATTCAAATTAAAAAAAAATGATCTAAAAGCCTAACTCAATTTGGGTTATGCCTATGTAGTTATATTATTTTTCGAGTTATAATAATAAATTGCCTAGTATTGTCTTTTTTTTATATATAATTACAATTGTTTATAATTTAGATCTTGATTATTAACTATAAATTTAGCACTCTTTCAATGTATCACAAGGTTCCTGGAAATGTTGCTCCTCTTTAAGTTGTATTTTGATAAATAGATACATGCATTTTTTTTTATTATTTTCCTTTTTGGTTAAAAAAATTATTTGGTACATTAAGATTTTTTTTCGCAATAAGGTAACCGAATTTTTTTTAATGAAAAAAATTTAAATATAGATAAATTATTCAATTATCAAAATCAAAATAGATATATTGTATATGATAATTTAAATAGATGATTGTAAATTATATATTCAAAATTACTTCAATAAATGACCGTCAACAAAGTTTTTAATATTTTTTTATATAAAAAATGATATTAATAAATTGAATTAACCACTTATTCGTAAGATAACCGAAATTTTTTGTTCAGTATTTGGCTCATTAGTAAGTAAATATATTAACTGATTTAAAAAGTTTTATTTGATTTTTTTTATGGTGCTCAATTTTATATCTTTTATTATAAAAAATTAAGTGTCATTCACAACACTTGAGTCCACATCTTTTTAATTATTTTCAATTATTAATTATATGTTAAAAGAATGAAATCGATTGAACATTTTTTAAAAATTGAAGATTGAATTACATATTAAATTATAGATGGTGCATTTCTTTTAGTCATGCAAATAGGAATAAATAAATCCCATGGATGTTTAATTAGAAAAAATATTATTTTCATGTTTTGAATAAAAAAATTCTATTTGATTAATTACCCTAAAAACTCACATATCACTTATTCAGCTTTACATGCATCCAAAATTAATCCAAGTTGAGTATATACTTTAAATTAATTTTTTGATTTGTCAATAAATTTTTGTATTTAATATTATTACTGATAATTAGAGAAGTCATATTTTTCTGTTAATTAAAATTTTATTTTTATATAAAAAGCATTGGGAATAAAATTTAAAAATGCAATAAATTAATGTCAAAGAAATGTATTTTTAAAATTGTTAAAAAAATTAAATTGAACAAAGTTTAGAGACATCGTTGATTATATAAACAAAAAATTTTGTATTTTGATTTACCATTGCCAAGTATACACCACGCGCCTCTAGTTAAGATGGTGAGTTGAAAAATGCGGAAACTGCACGTGTCATCCAAGAAAAAAAAAAAAACCTTATTAATACATGCTGTATTCTGCATTGACCTTAATATTTTATCAAAATAAATGTTTTTTTAGTATTATTAAATTTCTCATCAATCAAAAGGAAAAAAAAAGAAAAAACCCTAAGCTCTCATCGTTGTTTTTGGTATCGGGGATTTTTATGTTTTTTTTCCTCGGTTAGGTTAAATAATTCTGGTCTTCCCTCTCCAGGAGTAGCACCACTGTTCTTACTATTTTTAGCCTATTGCCTACCATTTAAGGGCATAACCCATAAGGAAATTACTATTTACTACTATTCATAATCCAATGACTTTGGACTTCAAGTTAATCTTCTTAAGGGTACAAACATGATAATTTTAGAGACGTTTATTATTAAAAATGATATGATAAAAATATAAAAATAATATAATTTAAAATTTTAACAAAAATTATATATAAATTAAATAAAAATATATTTAATATTTTATAATATAAATGATAATATAAAAATGGTTATATTATATATATAAAACATATACCAACTGAAATGGTCAGACGTACTCAAATAAAACCTTAATGTCTGTCTTAAAAGAGGGTAAAACCGTCATTTTAAAGCAAGTATGCCAGAAAAAATGGTACTAGCTTTCCTTAATGGCAGCACAGTCAAAGGGGTGTCCTAAACCGTGTCCCTCTCCCTTGCTGTGGAAAAATAAAATCTGTCCCAAGAAAAAAAAGCAAGAAGAGAAAATTATATATGTATATTTTCATGGGGCCTTTTTGTGATCATGACGACGTTGGCAGTACTACAATAAAAAGAATAATATATAAATATTTTGTGTTATTGTATGAAATTATAGCTGATAGCTCTTGATATATTCACCGAGAGAGAGAGAGAAGGAGGCAAAGGTCAAAGTAAGGCAGTTGGGTAGGGGTAATGATTTAAGGGAAGGCAGATCAGAAACTCGTGATGGGATTTTCATTTTTTGTTTAATTTTTGGGGTTTGAAAGTCTTTTTCTTTCGGTCTTTCGATTTTTATCTCTGAAAAGTGTGCAGAGATTATAGAGTATAGAAACAGAACAAAGCCAACAGTAGGCAGGTATTATCAGTGCTCCTTAAGGAATTTACAGCTTCGTCTGTTCCTTGTCTTGTGATCTCTCTTTTTCCCTCTTTCTCTTTCCCTTGGTTGGTCTCTTTATATTTGTTTCTTGTGTTTTATCGCTGGTTTGTGCCTAAAGACAATTTCAACAATCGTGAAAGAACCACGAGTTCAAAAAAAATAAATAGCACAAAACCCTGAAAGATAGGTCCCTTTGTTTTAAGTTTTGTTTAGTCTTTCTTTGTTTATTGCAAGTGATCGTATTTCTTTGGGGAGAATCTTGGTGAAAGTCTGAAAGGATAATACCTTTGGGCAAAAAGGAGTGACTTTGGGGTACCCATTTGAGGTTTTTTTTCTGATAATCTAAGAAAGAAAGAATTTTGGAGGTTGAAAGAAAGGAGGAAATGGGTAGTTGTGGGAGGAGTGGTACAGTGAGGCAGTATATAAGATCAAAAGTGCCTCGTTTAAGATGGACGCCTGAACTTCATCACTGTTTTGTTAATGCCATCGAAAGGCTTGGTGGTCAAGACAGTAAGTTTTTCTTTTGTTGTTTCTTTTCTCTACCTTTTTCTTTGTCTTCTTCAGCTTGTATCTTTTGGTCTTTGAGCTAATTAATGGCCTTTTTTATTTTTCCGTTGGCTTCGACTTGTCTGCCAGAAGCTACGCCAAAACTTGTTCTTCAACTGATGGATGTGAAAGGACTCACCATTTCACATGTAAAAAGCCATCTTCAGGTTGATATTTCCTTTTCTTTTTCCCCACTTTTTCTATCGTTTTGATTTGTTTATGATCTTCCCTTGTCTTGATGCCTTATCCTTCAAATCTCTATTTTCTTTAAAACTGTTTTTAAATATTATCTTTCTTTGTCGCTTGATCGTTTTGTTCACATGGGTTTCCCTTTCCTTCTAACCAGATGTATCGGAGCATGAGAAGTGATCTCGGCAGACAAGGTATCAAGAGCTCTTTTTTGTCTCCTTTCCAATATGCACTATCACAAGTATTTCTAAATCTCCTTTTAAAAGCGTCTGTTGTTTTAATAGCTTTTTCAATTTTCAATTTTTAACTATTGAGCTGTTTATTATTCATCAGTATGTGTGTTTTTGCATTAAAGACTGACGTTCCATGGTACTTTCTTCTAATGGTTTGCCTTTTGGTGTTAAATATTAAAGATCATACTCCCACACCTATATATTTTTTGGTAAAGAGTAGATGTATCACTTCATTTATTATCTTCTTTCTCTCTTATTCACTTGATACCAAAACAGATGAGAACAGCTATTAACTTGTTTACTTGCAAATCGTCTACTATTGGAATGTCTGATGAAACCCATAACCCCAATTCCTTGATTGTAGCTGTTTCTAAATGTTTTCTGAATCAAATCAAACCATGAAAAATGGCAACATCCTTTTTACCCTTTTTTTCTTAAACATGAATAAATAATGCATGCATGTTATCAGAAACCAAGATTGAAACCCAAACTTCATTGACTCTTTCTTTTTCATTATTATTACTTTGAGCTTTTGGTTTCCTCTAGCTAACATGTATCTTTGGTTGCTTTCTGTGTTGGTGTGGTGGGGTTCTCAATGACAGAAAGGAGCTCAACCCATCGCAGAAGACAATCTTTTGAGAACCATGATGGATGTGTTGATGAAGTAAATGATATGGGTTTTAACTCAACTTCAAAAACCATTGAAGAATCAGATTCCCATTTGATCTACGGTCCACTTTCTTCAAAAAGGTCAGCTTAGCTTTATCCCTCATGGGTACAGACTTTACAAATATATAAAAAAAGTTGAGAGTGTAGTGCAAGAAACAAACAAAAAAAGATTGTATTGCATGATCTTTTCTTTTCAGCTACTACTTTTTTCTTTTTCCTCTAAAATTCTTTTTGTTTGATTTCTTTTCTTTCTTTTTTAATCCTCCCTTAGAGCTAGAATCGACACCAGAAGATCAAGCTCTGATCAGAATCTGCAATGCAGCCAAGGAATATGTGAGACAGTCTCAAATCCGTACTCTTTTGATGATTATCTGCAGACCATGGCTGTGCATAAGGGAATAAAGGAAAGTAATGGTGCTTTCCTATGGGAGCACACCCAGTCTCACTCTCAGCAGGCTCAATCCACAACCTTCTCTCTGCCACATGATCTTTACAACCTCAACTCTTTAAAATATTCAGTGGAAGAATCTGATTTCCTCAAGGTACACTAGAGAACCCACACATCTTAATTTCTCTCTACGTCTCTCTTCCTGATATTTTTCTTTTGCCAGCTTTTCTTTATGAGCTTGAGTGCAATGTTGGTTTTGGGTTCCAACTTTTTAAATTCCAACCAGTTCATGGAAGGTGACTTGGTTTGTATAGCTAGTTTCCACACACAACGCGGCTCTTATGACCAGTAGTAACAGGGAATATCTGTGCCTTTTAAGCCTACTTGCCTTACAACAGGTCTAGTTTGCATAGTGTTTTCACTTCAACACCTGTTCATGAAAAGCACAACCCCATTTAAGCCTATAATGCAAAAGAATATAAGGAAAATAGAAAGAATGAAAGAAGCCAAAAAGCATTAAAAAAATTGCATCTATAAATTTTTTTCTCTTTCCTGGTGTTCTTTTCCTCTGTCAGTGAATGCATAAATGTAGACTGAGAGAATAGCATATTCTACATCTTAAGTTAAAGAATGTCTTCTAGAAATGCAACTGCTAAACTGAATTTTTATTGTTATTTTTTACATTTTTTACTTTAAAAAGCTTTTCTTTACCCTTCATTAAATTGAAATTCCAGGAATTTTTTTTTTCTTTTGGGTTAGCAATTACACTGTCCCACGACCTAAAAAACTGTCATAAAGCTTTCTGATTGATAGAGTTCTTACATTCTGTGGTCCACTGTAATTCTAATGAATAGGGGACCCCCCCCTTTTTGGGGCTGGTCAGAATGGAAATTCAAGATGAACCTTTATTGCTTTGGACCAGACATTGCTTCTTTAGACCCAACGGTCATTACAAGTTACAAGTGGTGGGACTACCCTTTATTGAATTTCATGGTAACATTTGTCCTAAATCAACTCAGCATTTAATTCTCTTAATAATCAAATTTCACAGCTTTTTACCAGTTTTTACTGGAAATCCATTTTTGTCTTAGTAGTAACTGTTTCCTCATTCTATGAGTGGATGGTTCATTTCCATGAAATTTACCCAGGAGTTTTTTACCCATCTGATTTCTGAAATATGGTCACTGTTCATGGACTCTGGCCTACCAGGGTACTACAGTCACTTATTTTTCTTAGAAAAATAAGCCTACCATGCATTCATGTAGCTGTCCCCGATTAAACCATTCTTGTCTCAGGTTGCTGATGTTGTTCAAGTAGAAGATCATCAAAAACACGCAGAGCAAGATGATAAACATATTGAACGTAATGTAAGGAGACGCATTGGTGGTGACGAAGAAGGCGGCGATGGCGCCTGTGAATTAGCATTGTCACTCTCATTGCCTCATCCAACGTCCCAGAGAAGTAATACTAATTCATCCACAAGCGAAATCAGCAGTAGTGAGGCTTTCTCATCCTACCCTATGTCAAATTATCAAGACTGCTCCGGCTCTTCCCCCGCCCAACGGGGTCTAAACTTAGATCTATCCATTGCTCTTTGTGGCAACTAATGTTTTTTATTTCCCTCCTTTCAAGCTTATATAAATAAATCTGTATCTTGTTTCTTCTTGCTTTTTTTTTTTTTCTCTGGTTAATCATGTTTAGTAAGGTTTAGCTATGGAGCTCATCGAGGTTTTGGTTTAGAATGTATGACTTGGACTCACAGGAATTTACCTATTGGTATAATACTTAAACATGAAGAACTAGTTAAATTCAGACATTTGAGAAATCGGAGTGTTGATATTCTTTTGATGGGTTAAATTTCAAGTTAAAAATTGGAAGTGAGATTAGGTCTTGGAAATTCATTGAGAGAAACTGACGGTATATCTTTAAGAAAATTTATCGTATGGAACATGTATGCTGTGAATTATTTTAATAATGTTAAAAACAAAATATACGATGCATGAAAAGGAAAAGATTAATTGCTTGAGTGATATAATTAATCCCAGGGCACAACCCAAACTTTGGCTTAACGTCAAGTACTAGAGAAGTTAGGGAAGGTAGCATTCAAGTTTGATGTTTAAATTTAAAAATTTGTAAAATTTTTTTGTACATTTTGTTAAAAAATGAAAATAAGTTAAATATATTAGCTTAAATATCACTATCCTCTGGAAAAGATTTAAGAAATTTTTCATAAAATTTCTTATTAATAAAAAATTATATATATATAGATTAAGCGTGTAAAATTTTAAAATTTTTTTAATAAATTATGATATATTTATTAAATAAATATTTTTAATAAAAATATTTATAAAATTTTTATTATTAAATAAATATTGATCAAATTTAAATTATAAATAATAGTTTTAATAATATTTATATATTATTAAAATTTACATTTAATTTTATTAATTTATTAAAATTTTTTATTTATTTTTAATTAAAAAATTATAAATTTTACCTCTAAAATTTTGTGTAAGTTGTCCTTTTTATATGATCTAAAAAAAAATAATTAATGAACGTTAAACTAATTAACTTTAACTGTCCTCTTGCAGACCTAATGGTGCAAGCGTACCATAACTAAACAATTAAGCTTACAGGACGAAAACGAGAAAAAAGATGTATAATTTAGGCAAAAAGGTAAGAAAAGTTTTTTGAATTAAAATTTAATAAATATTTAAATATATATTTTTTACCATCATTAAATTTTGAAATTTTTATTTTTTACAATTTAGCCATTTTTAGAGAAAATGGTTAATTATTTTTGTGAAAATTTAATTGGCTAAAAATAGATATTTAAAAGTTTAAATGGATGAAAATAAATATTTAATGATTCAATTGATTGTAATAAAATATTAAAGACTTAAATAATTATTAAATTTTTATTTGAGTGTTTTTTTTTTTTTAATCTTTTTACCTATAATTTAATCCAATGTAAAATTTTTTATAAGACATGTTACAACTTAAAAGAGATTAAAAAAAAAATTGTAAGCATTACGATCGAGTTTCGTTGAATTATTTGAATTTGAATCAAAATTTAAACTCTAAATTTATTGAATATTATTTATTAAGAGTAATTGTATTATCTAATTGAATTAAATTTTAAATATTTTTTGAATATATAAATAATATACAATATTTTAAAGTTAGCAATTACCCAAAAAGTTTTAATATAACCTTAAATACAAATAAAATAATCCAAGTCAACAGTTAATAGGTTTTGGGAAGTCATAATTAAATTTACTACAAACTAAAAAAAAATATTTTGAGAGTCATAGCCAGTTGGGGTTTAACCAGGCTGTTAGAATCTGAAATATCAAAGTTGAAAAATTTAAGGAGACAAATTCGTGGGTTCTGCAAAAGATGGAGATTAGGACCATAGTCTATATATATAGGATTAGCCACCCCTGCCCTATGGCCGACAGGGATGGGTGAACCCCCAACCAAAATGAACTAGATCTTTAAATTTGATTTTCAAGTTTTTGGCGTTGAGATATAATTGTAAGAATTTCATTTTAATTACTTTTATAGTTTTGTTAAATTAATTGTCATATGTTTTCTACTCTTTTAAGGTGGATTTAAATGTAATCGGAATGTCGCTTCAGTGAGTGAAATCTTTTTTTTTTTTTTTTTTGTATCGAAATATAAAAGCATTTGGGTAATCAAGTTATGATGCGATTGCTAAGAAAAATTCGTATGGATGGTGAAAATTTGGATGGGAGGATAAAGGGCTCAGTGGGATTTTTCATTCCCACCGTAATCTCTTTTCCTAAAAACCCATGCTCAAGTTAATTTTTTTTTAAAAATTCTATGCTACCTGCTGCTAAGCCTTTCTTTTATTTATTTTTTTAAATTTTTTTAGAACTTTAACTTGAATAAAAAAAGTATTATTTTAATTTTAAAATTATTATTAATTTATGTAAATATATTATTAGCAACTTTTTTATATAAAAAAAGATCACTTGATACATTAGAATCATTTTATTAATTTTCAAATATTTAGTTACAAAATTATTATTTAATACAAAAATAATTTTACTAATTTCAATTATTTAGTAATTGCATAAATGTTAAATAATTTAAAATTTTTACTATGTACGATTTTTAATTTAATGTCATTTGCATTCATTTTTTATTTTCATTACACTTCACATCACCATCATTTCAATGTTTGCATCCAAATACATATTTTATTATTTATTTTAATTTTATTGTTATAATATTCAATTTTACAATAACTAATGTCATAGTTATTTTTAATTCAATTTTAGTGACAATCCAAATGAACTATAATATTTCGAATTAAAATCATGTTTGATGCATAAGATAATATATATAAGAGAGGATAATGATTATTTTATATTATGTTTGATTTATATCTAAAAAAAAAATATAATTGTAAAAAAAATTAATTATTTTTTTAGTAAAAAATGATTTAATCTTTCTAAAATAAAGATGATTATTTTTAATTTATAAGATTAAATTTACATATCCTATTATATATTTAAAAATTATATCAATATATTAAATTATATAAATTTATATCAAATAAAATATAAAATAATATTATTTAATCTAATCCTATTCATAATATCATCTTATTCTATCTTATTATAATTTTATATTCTAACGTATCCTAATAGTTAATAGGGATGGTGGTTGGATAACTCTTTTAAGAAACAGGAAACCTTGATGTGTATACACACGTAGCTAGGTTTCATATTTCAATATTTTGGACCACTTATATTTGTACAGTTTAATCCTATCAATTAAAGCTACCCTTGATTGGCTAATCCGATAAATTCATCAATGCCCCGCAAGTATGATTGTCTCTCTTGGTGATGATCTTCCAGCGATAACATTGCCTTTTGGTAGAGTTATTATGCAGAAGGTGCTGGTGTAGGACTAATGGCATGTAAATAGGCTGTTCACTCTTGAAAGCAAAAACAAAACAAAAAGAAAAATAAAAGGATATAGCAAAGGAATCGCATCCCTACTCGGAGGCTTAAGGTACAAAAAATATACATCCCTGTGTCATGAGACTGATATGTGAGAGTGAGCAGATGTGACAATGCTACAAGTCGAAGTTGTTCCCAAACTCTTGTCACCAGTGGGCGAAGACCAAGTTGAAAAGTAAAATCATAATCTCTGATTGACATGGCAGCTGGTAAATGTGCTTGAACGAGTGAAAAAAAAAACAAAAAAAGAACCCTTGAATGACCCAAGCAAGTTTCTTGATGCCGTCTCAATACATCAGTCTCTGTGATGCTTCAGAGACATGCATGTGTAAAACTCTGTAGGAAACGTGACTTGAACATATGGACCGTTGTTTGTGGTCAGGCAATTATTTCTTTTTTTGCGCACACCATCTATCAGCTCAATTCAACCACGGAAGCATTTCTATGACAAGAAAATAACAGTTGGACAGCAGCATGTCACTTTGATGGGGCGAAAGCATGAAGAATAAACTGGGTCATAATGATTCCAGCAGAAAGATTGACTCATGTTATCGTTGCAAAGACCTTGATTCTTATCAAACAAAACATTATAAAAAGACACACCTTCTTTAACTTTCTTTCCTCCCTTTTTTATCGCAAACCAGTGGCTTGATGCAGAGTCGTGGCTTAGTACTGACAAGGTTTTGGGGAAGAACAGAAACACCAACCACTAGTGATCCATTAGACACTCCAGAGAGAGGAAGCAACTCAACAAGAATAGATAGCTGAGAGATTTGCCATTGCAGTTAAGACGGGAAAAAGAATAGAAAACTTTAGACCATTTACAAGCTGGATAAGAACTTGTACCTCTGGAGATTTTAGATCCACAACTGAATCTGAAACAATGCCTTTAACGGCAGAAGCCACAATGCTAAAGCATTTATTGCGGTCCAATAAAACTGACTGATCAGAATTCCTAGAAGAATCTTTAGGAATCTTCAATTGGCTCTCTTCGATCCCTCTTCTGTTGAACCCAACAGCAAACTAAAGATAAAACAAAAGTTACATCCACTGAAACAAGACTCAAAGGTGTTTTAAACTTGTATAACTTCATATTTCAAACATGCAGACATGCATTTCAGAGAAGATACAAATTTCATTTGACAGTATAATTCAGTTTTGAGGCATAGGAAAAAATAAATCTAGGTGGCTGGAGTTTGAGATAGAAACCACAATTTTCATAGTGGTGATGTGCGTGTGCTCTTGCAGTGTGTGCATATGTGAAAGTACAATTCATTCTAAGGGAATAGACCTGTCAAAATGCATTTTGTTTTGACCACACCAAGATAACCTATCCCAATGTTCTATAAACCTCACAGGCAACATATACTGCAAAACTAATAGCTAAAAGCAAGCAAAGCTCAAACCTTTAGAGGTTGTGCAAGTTTGTTCCGTTTATCATTCACAAATTGAAGAACAAGCTTCGATACAACTGCTTGCACTTCCTTCTCATTCAAAGTACAGGTAGCTTGGATGGGGAAGATGCGGTGACACCAACTGCAACAATGAAATGTCATTTCACCCAAAATTTAATTAACAAGAAAGATTGCCCCAAAAAAGATAAAGTATATGAATAATAACACAAGCATAGAAAATAAATCAGTAATTTTCAGTCATAAAGTTATCAGTTATCACACATACAAATTTATATGGCAATCCTGCTAAGTGAAAGCCCACCAGGTTAGCAGAAGAGGCATGTTAAAACATGATTTGCAAATAATTTAATTACTGTATTGGGGACGTTGTGGAAGCTTTTTTACATTTTTGAATTAACTGAAAAAAACAGGACCTTAACAATTAGGCATCTTATACACAACCAATAAAAGACAAAAATCCCTTCCAAGATTCAAATCTGTGATAAACTGGTCTATACCGCATATGATGCCATAAAATTTACCCACAATTTCTAGAAATTGTCATTAGTTTAGTGTTAAGGTTAGGTGATGCAAGATGATTGGGCCAATAAACTATAAGCTTTGCAGGCACTCTATGAAATGAGAACAGACAAAGGTGATCCCGCATAACAAGTCACAATTAACAATCTTCACTGCACGACAGAGCAAAATGTATTTCAGCTTGCATTCAATAGAGGAATTTACTGAAAACTTCAAGTTCCAAGAGTAGCAGAATGATATATAATCTCTACCTATAAGAACATAAACAGCAGACAATTCAACCAGCAATCAGTCACAGTTCTTGAGACTTTATTGCTCCTACAAGCAGACTCCTTTTCCCGGGAAATCTCTTCGAAATGTTTGGAGCAGATTTTCCACTATTTTCTGGATGCCTCAAACATCCTTTGCATCCTTCATTCCTTCAGCCTAAGACATAGCTGAGTGTGCTAAATGCTAACATGATTTTACTACAACTTTTATGGAAGAAGATTATACTTAAAGCTTTGTGTTTTGATCAGTAATATAAGGTGCCAACACAGTGTTATAAGAAATTAGCATGCTAGTCTCACCCAGGCCATCTTACAATCTCTTAAATTGAATTTAAAAAGTGTTCTCAAATTTGATTATATTGCATCTTATATATTGTCTTGCAAATAAAATTACTTCATAACTAAAAGCCACTGATGAAGCAAAAACATTACTAAAAAAGAAGTTGAATATAGGGATAATAAAGATATACAACTCCATATGTTAAAATCTCATGACAAAAGACAAAAATATTATTCTGGCTAAACATGTTGAACACCATGGCTTTGACCTTGCTGAGGACTTTCGGCAAACTTTTCATGTAATTCAATTCATTATACCATGATGACAATTAGCTTTAGCAATTGCTCAACCTTGCATTTGTCATTAATTGAGCCTGGGAACTCCAATTGACAATCTCTCTATACTACTTTCAAACGTGTTTAAAAATCACAGTACGACCTTCTAGTCATCAAATCTTTTGAGATATCCACTTGAACTAAAAGTTTAACCTCTTGCAAACTTTGCCATATATAGCAAAAAGCCTTGGATCTCATTCATCTCCAATAGTAATCACTTGGACTAGATGTATGAAAATTTGGAAATGCACTTCAGTTTTAAGCAAAGACTAAGTTTTTTTATATAGAAATTGGATGAGTGCTAGTATTAATCATCAAAGACTTAAATTCTCACGGTAACCTACGAACAACTTATTTCATGTGTTAACTTGTTTCCTACACAATTTGCAGTCACCTATTATGAGGTGCAAAGTGATAACCTGTAATTTTAAGTATATTCTGATATAAAGTTTAGGTTGGCTTTTGTAATACTATTCTTTATATGACTACCAGACTAGCTCAATGAGGGTTTAGCAGTTAATTATGCTTTGATCTAATAGAGATTTTATCTCAAACAATATTTTATGAAGTGATTGCTTGGCGTCATTTGGAAGATGATTCAGATAGAACCACACTTTCTTGAAACAGAGACAAGGACAAATATTATAAACAAGTTGAGAGAGGAAAACTAAATTTCAACTTGTGGATATTTGCAATTAACTTACAGTGGTGACTTTAAACTCCCAGACTCCAGATCCCGAAAGATATCTGAAACAATATCAATTGTGTCTAAGGAGTTCTCCCTGGGGAAGGTAAGGAGAAGCAAACCACTCTTTGTCAGCTTGACTAGTGAAAGAACAAAATCTTCTGCTTCACTTTTATCAGTCTTTGCAGAGGAAAAACAGTCATCTTTTGGAATTCCGCCTACCAAAAAGAGGTCCTCTAAGTAAATATCAAATCCAAGGCCTAAGTAAAATTGAACTGAATGCCAAAGTCGCAGTCTTTTAGGCCTAAAAACTACCCACCTGCACCTTCAGTCACCTCTGTGCTGTCAACACTATTGGCAATATTCTGATCAATGTCTCCTGTACATATTTTCCTTCTTTTACTATCAGCATTTGCATCAGAGCTTTCAGAACATGAGGTATCAGTGTTCAAGGACCCAACATACTGCAAAATATTTAAACAATTTACAAGTATTAATATTGACAACATCAACAATACTACTCTCTCATTATGTGGCATGGCCTATACTAGAAACCTCTTTCCAACGCAACCTCAGAAGAAACAAAATGCAGATGTAAGTTCTCCTTAAAAAATCCTCTTTTGCAAAAGAAGAGGATATAAAAGTGACATACATAATCAACGCACCAATTCAGTGTTTTGGCATCATTTTAACACCGCAAGGCAATCAATTAATGGCATGTAAATAACAACTCTCTTCATTTTTAACAGACAAATAAAAGAATACAACTTAGTTTGAAGTTTTGGGCAGTCACTTAGGCAGCAAGAAGAGAAAGCTATATTCTAGAACTTAGTGCTGAGAGCCAAACAAATACCCAGAGCTTGCAACCACAGAATGAAAGGACTATACAGACTCTGAAGCTTACATAATCATATGGAAGGTCAAAGCAAGTAGAGATTCTAATTTCCAGCCCCATAATCTCTTCCACTTCAAATATAAATCTTCTTCATTATTTATGCAACCAACAGTCACCTGTTATAGATCTAAAAGGAATAAATTTCTCGTTTCTATATCTCTCTACCATTGAATACCCAAGCTTTCGCTTTTATTTTTTTTTCTTTTCCTGAATCCCATTCAAAACCCAAGACATGGTTCTAATGAAGTCAACAATTTGCTTTATGAATAATATAAACTAAGAAGATTATCATTAAAATTGGAAGTAAAATGAATAAAATTGAGATGAAGAGGCAAGACCTTTGAAAAGATGGACATGGCTTCTTTTGTAGCGCTCTTCTCCCTCTCTGTTAACAAGAGAAACTAAAATGTCAAAAACCCATTTCCCAATTGAAAAAGCAGCAGTTAAAAAAAAAAAAAGAAAGAAGAAAATCAGAAAAGAGCAGAACTGAACTGATAGTGCAAGTGATGAGAAAGGCAGAGTGAGAGCGTTGAAGTAAAGAAGAAGCAGCTTTGTAATCGAAGCGAGGAATACTTATAACGCTGGCGTGTTGTTCCCACGGAGTCATTGGGGTTTTGCTCTCTTCTTCTTCAATCTTCTTTGATTCCGTTTTCCCTTCTTTTCTTTCTTCTTCATCACCCATTTCCTGTTGCACCTCCCAACGCTGAAAACCCCTCTTAAGCCCGACCCTCCCCTACCTTTTACTCGTTTCAGGAGAAAAAAAGAGCTTATATTTGTTGATTTTTGTTAGGTTCTTTTACCCCCTTTTTTTTTAGTTTATTAAGACATGATTAAAAATTAAAAATAAAGTTTAAAAAAAAAGAAAAAGAAAAAACACATGATTTGCATTAAAATAACAACGTTAGAATTGAAAATCAACAGTTTAATTGAGATTTAAAAAATATTCTCTTAGATGATCACACTAAAATTTCCAGTTTATACATAAACTTCATTTGTCATTCATCAAGTATCCATTATTCAGGTTTTGTCATGTTAGGACTTAGGAGGGAGGCCATTCACTGTCTTCATCTGTTTGAAACTCAAGATAGCCCTTCCCTAAACAAACTTTTTGCCCTGCACTAAATGGTATGAACTTGTAAGATAGTACATGTCCAATATCTCCATATGCTCCGAAATCCATCTTTCCAGTTTGAATTCTATAAAGGATCTTTATGCCATATCTCTTCAGTGCATCCTTACCATTGAATAAACAGAAATAAAGATCCTTCCTCCCTCATTGACATGATCTCCGCTTGGAAGAACATCCGATTTAATTGCAGTTCTACTATTGACAGATAGATAATGGTGGGTATTGTTTAATGTTTCACACAAGGCTGCACATATAGGGTATACGAATTTATTCAGCTATTCCCCACTGAAAGACATCAGTTTCCTATCTTGTAGGGGAATGCACCTTGATCTCTTGTAAAATTTTGGTTTCTATGAAAGGATGTGTTGCAATATGCCAGAAAAACCAAGACAAGCCGGATCTTGTACTGTCCTCGCCTGCTGTGATCGTTATATATGAAACTGTATGCAGTGTCTCTTAGAAACTCATCAGATTTTCCAAGTGTACTCATTTCTCCTCCTCCTCCTTAAACCATAAACGCTATCAGCAAATTGAATTCGTCGTCGTCGACCCTTGTATCGCATGATAGTTTTCCTCGTTCCGATGAAATGCAATTGTACACAAAATTATCAGCAATTTTAAAACAACTTTTTCTCCTCTCCAATTTGAAGCTATCTTTGCAACTTCCAAATGGTTACCAGGCAGGATATTCCATACAGCAAAGCCTCCATACAGCAAAGCCTCCTCTACTCTCTCAAATGCCACTTTGCTTGGAACTTTGGGAAATTCAATAGATAGAGTTTTGGTCATAGTCGAACCGTTGAAGTACATCTTCGAGGTCCACTTCGCACTTCCCAATTCCACAACATGTTCCAGGATAGGGATTAGACATTTCTCCAGCTTTTGCCAGAAAATTCTATCCAAGCAGAGCGCATACTTTGCGTTATTCTTCGTCAATGATTGCAAAACCTTCCTTTTGGCTTTTCCATTTATGTGAAAATTCCTTCTCCAAAGGATTCCCTGAACTCCGAACCCTTCTCGTAGTTATCAAAGTTTCTACACAAAATGTGGTTGACATTCATGGGTTTGCTTGTGAGAACAAAGTCCAACCTTGGAAACCAAGGCCCCTTTTTCTTGTTCCTATTATTTTTTTATGGCACTTGTAAGAGGCCAAACTATAAAAAAAATGTCACACCAAATTGAAATATTTAAAAATATCAATCTGTTCCATGTTCAAGAGTACTTTACAAGAATGGATTTGAAATCTATGAAATTACAGATCAGTTGGCATCTCTCCAGCAAGCAATGTGCTCTGTCCAAAGCAATAAAATACCTGGAAATTTCAAGTCGTCCACTGTTCTTGGATCTATATGCCAAAACAAACATGCAAAAATTTGGCCCATGAATATTCTTCAAATCCCAGAGGTTTGCCTTGATGGAAAGCAAATGTCAATCCTCTGTTTCCATTTTCTTGATTATATATATATATATATATATATATATCTTCAAAGAGGCAATTACAATGAAGAGAAAGCCTAAGTAATGCAGGTAAACAAAGCATCTGATTTGTTTAATTGTTGAAAGTCTTATGATTTGCTTTCTTCCTTTGTCTTTTCCCTTTTCTCCCAAACTTAATTACAAAATGCTCAAAACCATATTTAGGCCGAAAATCACTTTTTCTTCCCAAAAAGCTCACAACCCTAAATTCAAAACCAAAAAATTTTCATGGAAAATGTCATGCCTAAATTTAAAGATGGTTTTTGATTTGGTAAGTTGATAATAAATTTTAATGCAACTAGCATGATTCAAATTTAGATTTTTGGAATGTAATGGTCATGGTTGTGACCTTTAATACAAACTTTTTATTTTTAGGTTGTGTTCTATATATTTAGGTTTCGTTTGATAATTTAGATTTATTACATTTATTATATTAACAGTAAAAATGAATGAAAATGCTAAAAATTAATCCATATCTTTTAGCTTTCTTTTGAATTTCATGTTCTCCATAGCTTTGAGATAACATACATTAATTTTACCCATATATATTTTCTTTGTCCTTTCTTTTGGAGTTCATAAAAAATGGTAAATAAATAAATAAATAAATAACAAAGCTTCGAATAGTAACAAAGCTCCATAATTTGAGAAACCATAAAATATGTAGTCATTTTTTAGTATTTAAAATATAACTTTTTCAGAAAAGGAAAATTTTAATGGGTAAAATATCTCGCTAAAATCATATAAGTAACTTTCTCAGTAAAAAAAAAAAAACCAAAAAAATTAGAAAACATTTCAATAAGTTTATTTTTTGAAAATCTAAAATTTAATATAAACTTGAAGTTTAGTTCAATTGATTCATACGATTAATTACTTTAAGTAATAAAATCTAATAAATTTGATATTCAAATTTTAATATTTATAATTTTTTTATTATCAAATTGTAATATTTTTTGTATAAAAAATTTGAGCCATGAATAAGAAGGATGAGATTTGTGAAATTTAAAAAAAAATCTATCTTTTAGTATGTAACTTAAAACTTGATTAATTTGTTATGCACAAAAAAAAAGTGTATAAATTAAATTTTGACGCCATTTTGTTGAAAATAATAAATATTGACGAAATAAAAAAAAAGGAAGAATAAATAATTAAGAATGGAGAAAAGGAAAGCTTAACACTTAATACATTAATGATTTTTCTTTTTCTCATTGATAATAACAGGCGGGTGAAGTTTGTGCAGCTTCAGCTTCAACTCGAGTGTTCTTTGTCATTGACATGGCGAGTATTAAAATTCCTGGTCACGTTCCATCGGCCGACTTCCGCTCTGGCGCTGTCGCTTTATGATTAATTACGTTTTAGATGTTGGCTTAATTTACTAGTTTATCAATAGTAAAATTTACGGTATCTATTTTTTTTTTTAGATGGTGGCTTTACTTTATAGATTATGGATGGTCATTGGATAAACGAAATGGGTACCTATTGGAAAAAGAGTGCTCAATTAATTAATGTTATTAATAATTTTTGACCAACAATTAATGTTATTATTGGAAAGTTTTTTTTTTGTTTTTACAAAAATATTGTACAAAAAATTATTTTAAATATTAAAATTTAAAATTTAAATTTGTTTGATGTAATTTTTTAAAGTAAATATATAAATCAATTAAATTAAATTTTAAATTCAAAGAGTATATTTTTCAACAATTGATATTATCATGTAGGCTTAATTTGGTAAAATGTTTAATAAAAAAGCAAAATAATTTTACCATAATTAAAATATTTTTTCCTTATATTGTTTAGGTATTATCAATTTTTACGAAATTTTAAAAAAGTCTGATTTTAATATATATATAATTTAATATTGAAGTTTAATTTTTTTATAAAATTAATGTTTTATAATTGTTAATATAAAAAAAATAAAAAAATAATTTTAAAATATAAAAATTAAGAGTTTTAAACGCTTTTAAAAATATATAATTTTATAACATAAAGAAAAACAAAGAAAATGATACAAAAAGAGTAATAATTTATTAATTCTAAATTTCATTTGATATGACATTTATGATCAAATTTTGACAATTTGAAACCCGATCACAATATCGAATAAAATAATAATTTTTAATATTTATTATTTATGAACAAAGTTAGGTATTGCTTGGAAATTGATCTCAATATCTCATGTCTGGTACTTATGAATATATTCATCATTATCATTTACATGAAAATCAAATAATTTATAAATCGTGATTAAAAGAAAACAAATTGACAACAAATGCAAATGGAAGAATCATTTTAGTGGAAGGATTCCATAGTTTTGCTGTTTTATTGGTAATTCGGTTAGGATTGGGCGAGATCCTATGACAGATTTGTATTTATCGTCCACTCTTTGGTCTCTATGAAAGGACAAAGACTTTTGCGTATCTCACTCAACAACCCTTTTGAATTAGGTATAAATCGCTCTTAAAGAAAAGAAGAAAAAAACAAGAAAACTTAAGTAAAATTTTTTAAGTGAAATTTATAAAGAAAAAAATGATTTAATAAAAAATTTAAATAAATAGATTGATAGAGTCTCATATAAAAATTAATAATAAGTAAAAAATCATTAAAATTTTTTTATAATTCAAAATAAAATTTTTTAAAATATTTTTATTAAAAATATTTATCTAAAAAAAATATAAAAATTGATTAAAATTTATACATTTAATTTATATAACAAAAAATTTTAATTTTAATTTTAATTTAATTATTTTTAATAAAAAATCTCACGAATTTCAGATAAAAAATTTCTTCCAAATATTTCATGAAGAAAAAGTAGAAGTATTAATAAGTTTGTTAAGTCTTAATAATAACAATAATTTAATCAATTTTTAATCATAACTGAGATTACATTAAAAATTGAAAAAAAATACTAATTAATAGTGGGGTTGGCGGTTGGGCCCCACTTTTTCAAGTTGGCTAACTGGCTAAACTTTCTGGTTCTCTCTCTTTCTCTTCAGTCTTTTATTTTTTTGGAACAAAGGGAAGCTGAGAAATCGGAAATCTGGAACAGCCAGCCTCGTTACTCTTCTACCGATGGTTTTTTTTTTTTTTAATATTATTTTTATGGTAAAAAAGGAAAATAATGAAATTATTATTGCTGTCGGTTGATGTCGTCCCCGCAACAGTCGGCTTTAAGGTTTCACAGGAGACGGGTTCCACCTTCTCCACAAGTTTCAACTTGCTGCTCCTTCGCTCCTCCTCTCCCTCCTCGTGACTGCTCTTTCCCTTCCTCTTCTTCCGCCGCTATGTCTCCTGAAATTTCGATGCTCATCCGCCGAGCAGCTCTCATTTTCACGGTCCTCACGCTTTCCGCTTTGCTTCTTTACACTGCCTCTGATTCCCTCCGCTTACTCCCTTTGTCGTCCGCTTCCCTTTCTTCTTCCTCTTTCGCTCGCATTTTCCCTTCCTACCTCAATAACTACGCTTCTTCTCCGGTTAGTTCTCTTTTCTTCTTTCTTTTTAATAGAATTAATTGAAACTTAATTTCAAATTACATGAATAATTTCCTTATCAATTAGATTTCAAAAACAATTCCTTGCTTCACATTACTAGTAACAAAGAGGCTATTCAGTTTAAAATTTCCCAGCTTGATAAAGCATGGAGCTAGTGCTTGGTAGAGTCTTGTGTTTATGGAAGTCATCTTATCAGAATCATGAATTCATTCTGTTTGATGAGTTTATATATATGACGTTTTCAGATAATCGATTCTGAGGTACTGCTTACTTCATTTGAATATGAATTTAGGGTTTACTGAAACAGCTAGACCAACAGCTGCAAAAGCAATCCAAGGTGTTTCCCTGAATATATTTACATTTAAAGTTGTTTTCCTGCAGAATCCCACGCAACAGCTTGAAGAAGTTTTGAAGAATGCTTCTATGGTGAATAAGACTGTTATTTTAACGACTTTAAATGACGCCTGGGCAAGTCCCAATTCAGTTGTTGACCTTTTCCTTAAGAGCTTTATGCTTGGAGATGGCACACGTAGGCTTTTGGACCATTTGGTGATTGTTGCCTTGGATGAAAAGGCATATAATCGTTGTAGAATTATACATAAGCATTGCTTTGCTCTTGTCACCGAGGATGTTGATTTTCATCAGGAAGCATATTTTATGACTCCACACTACTTGAAGATGATGTGGAGAAGGATTGATTTCCTGCGATCTGTCCTCGAGTTGGGTTATAGTTTTGTTTTCACGGTATTTGCCTTTTCTCTTTCTTGAAAACTTATTCTCATTAATTTGACCAAGCTCGTTCAATCTGTTGTTTGCATTAATGTTTCTGCTTTAGAATGATGGTTCTTCCTATATGGGTAGCCTGATATCTAACTGAAAGGTTGTGTGTTCACATGGTGCATGCTTGACAAACTGGTATGCATATGTTCTGTGTTCAAAATAGGACTTTGGCCTGTGTTCTTGACATTTCTGGTATGAATATGTGTTGTGTATTGACAATCATTTTTGCGGTAACAAGAGTGTTATTCTCTCTGTTCTTGCAAAGGTTCATTTTTGTGGTGTTGTATCTGTTGTCTGTTGTGAAATGTATCAGTATTTATTTTGGTCAGCAGAAATAGACAAGCTTAGATACAGTCTTGTCTAACATGTTGATACACAAATGGGGGATAGCTGGGGTGACTACAACCTTTTTTTTCTTAGATGCAGTCTTGTCTCACATGTTCATAGCTTTACTCAGTTATATTTATGGATCTTATCCAAATCTAATGAAACTTTTGAAAATGCTTATCTAAATATTTAATGCCTTTTTCATTGCTTTACTTCTCCAGGATGCTGATATCATGTGGTTTAGGGATCCATTTCCACGGTTCTTTCCAGATGCTGATTTCCAGATTGCATGTGACAATTTTTTAGGCAGACCTGATGATATGAATAACAGACCCAATGGGGGATTTAACTATGTAAAGTCTAATAATCGGTCAATAGCATTCTACAAATTCTGGTTTTCTGCTCATGAGACTTATCCTGGATATCATGATCAGGATGTTCTCAATATGATTAAGTTCCATCCTTTCATCTCAGATATTGGACTGAAGATTAGATTTTTGGATACTGCTTATTTTGGTGGTCTTTGTGAACCTAGCCAAGATTTGAATCTAGTATGCACAATGCATGTAAATTGCTGTTTTGGTATGGATAGCAAGCTTCATGATCTCAAAATTATGCTTCAAGACTGGAGAGCTTTCATGTCATTGCCACCAGATCTGAAGAATGAATCTATCATCTCCTGGAGGGTCCCTCAGAACTGCAGGTACTCTTGCTGTCTAAATCTGGACAACTTTTTTTCTTTTTCCCTATCATCCTATTCACTGCAAGTTAATATGATCTTCCCTCAAAATAGTTTCTCTATTTTCTTAACTGTGTTACAGTCTCGATTCTTTACGCCATTTTGGTTCACCACCTCCGGAGATGGATTTTCAACAAGAGGAAGAAGATTGATTGGAATTGTGCATATGTTTAGAAGTATTTACTGTCCATAGATAATGAGGGGGTAAAGCTTTCTGGTTCCTTTTTATTTTCTGTGATAATTCTCACTTACACACTGAGTTGATGATAGTGACCTTACATTGTCCATTGACTTCTTATTTTTGGATAATTATTGTTCATTGGCTTCCATTGCTTCATGCACCAACCGTCACCTTCCTCTTTGTTCCTTCTCTAATCCAAGTAGACCTCATTTTCTGTTTGCTACATGAGAAATGTTAGCATGATAATGTATCTTGTTGTTATAGAAAGTAAGCTCACCGGAATGTCTCGATTTAGTAAGTATATATCTGAACTTGAAATGCTCGAAAGGTCTTCCACCAAAACCCTTTTAGTAAAATGAAAAACAAAAATGTGAAGGGGAAAAGGCAAACCAAAATCTTCAATGTATATTTCCTGATTTAATCTATTCTGTTTTGGGTTGAGGGAATGATAAAGCAGCCTAGTTCTTCTAACATAGTTTTCTGTTACCGAGACTACTAGCATTAGCCAAGAACGTCTGAGTGCTTCATGTCAGGGATCCCAGTGGAGAAAGATGGCAAGAAAATTGATGAAATTGTTGAAGCTTTGCCTTTGGTCCACAATGTTGGCTACCGAGAGGACGTGGTTGCTTACAAAACATTTCTTCCCATCCCACTCATCTCCAGATTTAAAACACGAGATCATCATTTCTTAAATTCGAATGGCTGCTTATCCTCATGGAAATGCATCCCAATGCATTGATTACAGTTACAACTTTTGCCACCCTGATTTTTGTTGTTGTAACCATTCCCAAATACCAAAATTATAGAAAGACCCGAACATTTGAATCTTTATTTGGGCGTGAGTTCGAATTCCATGTTTGTTAAAATTATCATGCTTTTAACAGGTGACGTGCTCTGTCTCTAATAATAATAATAATAATAAGCTGTGTCTTCCATTAGAGGAAATAGAGTCTTAAAAATGAACAAAAATTTACAAGAAAACTTTATACAAATAAAATATTGAGGCTTCTCAATTTAGTATGTGTGCAATGTACACGGGGGCTACATAGACCATACAAAATACCATCTGGACAAGGGGTGCAAAAATAGTGGCTATATCACATAAATGAAAACAAATGATATAGCCAAAAAAAAAAAAAAAAAGACTATAGACTTTATCCAAGAACAGCATCAGTGTCCATTTGCTGCGGGCTCATGAGAACACCCTCATTCCAGATCTCAATGTACCTGTACATATAGAAGTCTTGTAACATGATTAGTATAAAATGGAAATCACAGGTGATTAATGGTAAAATGTTAATGAAAATTCTGAGGCATGCCATGTAAGTCATATCGAGAACTGGATCCACACCTTGCTCCATAAGCAGTAATATAAAGGAAGTGGCCATGTCGCCGACCATCTTCAAAATGGCAAAAGAAGACATCGCCAGATTTTGAATAGGAGCGGCCTTCACCATAGGCTTTTCCCTTCCAAAAGTTCGCAAACCACTGATCATCTCCCATGTGAAAATAAAAGCGGCCAAACATGACCATGTAAGAATAATTTTATCACCAGTAAGTTAGAAAAAGGATGCACATATTGTACATAAGATCCAGAAACAAAATAAATGCTCTGTATTAAAAAGAAAAAAAAAAAGAAAACAAAATAAATACACTAGTTTAATTCATGAATGTCTTTAGATGCAAGTAGCTGACAAAAAGATAGGTACTACCGGAAAAAAAATATTAACAAAGCTAAGAGGATACAGGGCTTTTTTTCCCTTTCTTCTGGATGGGAAAAGTAAGTTTCTAATTGATGATGCTAGTGAAGCCCTAAGATGCTGAACATGCTTTTATGATGAAGTCTTCCAGAATCATAGGACTAACCTAGCATTCCTAACATAATTTTATCTCTTTAAATTGGCATAACCGCCCCTTTTCCTTTTGTTCAGTTTCTTTTTCTCAGTTTCTCTCTTTGAGAAAGCAAACAACAATGACAACACAATTATAGATCTCTTCAATCTCAACCACCACAACATTGTTTCATCTAACTTCCATTTCCATTCCTTCAGTTTCTCCATAAATTCTTATTTCAAATCTAACAGATTTCTTCCCCATGTTCTTTTCATCATTAATATGTCTCAAATTCTTTCTCTCATTTGCAGCATTCTGAAGGATGCTAACACAAGACAAGAGGTCCATTAAACAAAGGGAAATTTTTATAAATATGTGAACCTTCCTATTGCAAATGCTTTAGATTTTTTCTTGAAAAGCTCCTACAAATTCTCATTTTCCTTTGATAATTGTTAGATTTTTCATAATGTGAAGCCAATTTGCAAAAATAGAAAATTTTATACATTACCTATCAAGCACTCAAGCACATGTTACATTTATGCACAAAAGAAAAAAAAAAGAGCTAGTCTGAACTGATGGTCTTATTGTGCTATGGAGCATCTGCTGCAATAGTTTGAAATTATTAAAATTGTTTTACTCTTAATCTCAATGTTGCAACATGATATGCTACACAACTGATGTAATTAGGTTATGGTTACACAATTTTATAGCAAAAGTCAATTTATAGCCAAAAGGCAAGCAAACTACTCCAAAAACCAAGTACAACAAAGGATTACCCAAATATTGCATGAATCGTAATTATTTCCAGAAAAAAAGTGAAAGGAAAAGGCACTGTTTGTAATTCAGAGCTGACTAAACTACAACATAAGACTTAGAGTGATATTTGATTTAGTGATCTTTCTAAAGTAAAGTTACAATAATGCTTCTTTGATGAAGCACGGGAGAGCCATAGGACATTTGATGAATGCGTAAACAAATTATAAAAGAGTGTTAAAATAAGAATGCCTTTTATGTACCAGAGCATGACAAGGAAAACAATGCCAAAACACATTCAGTGCAGCAGCTAATATGAAATTTGCATGTAAAACAAGAAACTTCACAGAAGCAGCCAACCATAAGAAATAATTTTTGAGGCAAAATAACTACAATGAAATCTCATAGTTTAGGTATGATTTCAAATTTAAATTTGATGTTTGGTTGATATAGCTTATAGCATGATATACTAACTAAAGAGTTAAAGATGGGATAAGACCTTTTCCTAGGAACCTTTGTTGTAAATGCACATTTGATACATCTTTCATGAGCATATTCATGGAAAGAAAAAGAAAGATATAGGTGGGAATCTCAAATGTATAAGCAGTGAAAAAAGAGATGAGGCTAGAAACTAGAAATCAAGAAGGAAAATATAGGTCACAACTATAGCTTAAAGCAAAGCTTTTGTTTTAACTTTATTACAAGTTTGCTCGAAAGTGTACTCAGAGAAAAATATCAATTCATAACAGCAATCTAAGTCAGAATTTTTAAGGGAACAATAAGGATTAGGAAAATTTGAAGCAATTTTGGCACTTCACAGCACTGAAGAAGTTGAGGGAACATGTAAAACCTCTCATCACTCATCGGTTGTAATTTGAGCTGTGAGGCATGTTAGTATCTTAAATTAATTAAACAAGATATTTAATACCTAAAATTTGCCCCAACATATGAGTCAAAATCCTAATAACGATAATCGAAGGTTCTCCTAATTATTTTAATATACAACCAGACCAAAGTGAGCAAATTGTGATAACCTCAGTGGCAACTGGTTACATGGCAACCGTTTTGAGTTGCTATATGCAATTCTAACCAAAGACAGGCAGCAAGTAATGTTCTAAGGCATAGAGAAACAGAGCTTTTGAGTTCAACAAGATTAACATGACAACAAGACCCTTCCTGTTAGCTTCTCGTCCATTACACCATCAACGATAACACATATCTCTCTTTCAACAGTATCTTGCAACAAAACCATAATATAAAACGTTGCTCTACCCCTTGGAACATGCATAAATATGCAAATTAAAAAATACCCATTCACCAAAGACGTGCCTATGGGAAAATTAAAATTTTTAAAAAGCAAAACAAAAATTAAATAAATTGAAAGGGCAGATACCAAAATCTCAAGGAAGACGACTGACAAGGCGAGCCCAAGTAAAATTCAAGCACAGGCAATGACTTCGACTACGCCGCTATTCTCTTCAATGTTGTTTCACTACCCATTTAATGAGCTATATTGTTTCTTCATACTCATCGAAATTTTAACAAGAGACCTCGATTTATATCTCAATCTTTTACAACAAAAAACTTTTGGGACCAAAGAAGGAATAGAAAAAAAAAAAAAACAGGCTTTGAAGAGAAACGGGTCAAAAAGGAAATGCAAGAAACTGTATGAAAACTTGTGAGAACGGGAACCTCCATTAGAAGCGAGCATTTTTTTTGGTGGTAAAATCTGTCAGCTTCTTATGCTTATGCAAACGTTATCAGATTTTTCTTTTTTGAACAAGAACTGATTTTCAATCTGGATAATAATTTTAAAAAAAATTTAACCAAATGGGCAATGGTAGATAATTATAACAACAAACAATAGTGAATTTTCAGGAATGAAGTTCAGGCCCAACTGAGCAAAAAAGTTCAGGTACCAATAGTTTTTTTGGCTGATCTTAAGGCCTAATTAGTTGGGCCACTTCAGATTTGTAGAAGTCTAGAAAACCCACTTTGCTAGAGTTTGGCACGTTGGTACGTGTGCCAAAAAAGCTGTATTTTATATGAAAAATATGTAATAAAAAAGAGGTTTTTTTTTTTTTAATAAGTAAAAAAGATGTGTTTTATATGAAAAATTGGAGAGACTTCTATATCTGATGGTTTTGATATTTTTACTAATATTTTATATTTTTTGATAATTCGTTAAACTAATTAAAAACACTAAACTCAATTAAAAATATTATACATAATTAGAATTGGACGCATCCACTATATGAGTGAAACAAATATATGTATATATATAATCAAATATAATCTCATAACCATTAAAAGTTTGTGACGATCTATTGTAATAGATGTATGTAAAAATTTAAATTCATTTTCGTGAGATTTTTTTTTTATCAAAGAACAAATGAGATGATTCTTTGAACCAAAATGAATAATATTCAAAAGTTTGATCGTATATCTGCAGCTTCCTTTTTTCTAGATTTATTTATTGTTCTTGGGTGGGAACGTAGTTTCCTTTACTCATACAATGTAGTTAGTTTAAAGCTACAGCACGAAAGTTGCATGGCATGCAGATGCAGTGCTCCTTCCTATTCCTATAAGTGGAATGAGATAGAGTTTGGTAGCATGGGAGACAACCTTCCAACATTTGTCATCTTTGTTCCAAACCATTTTTCCTTTGACGTAAGTTGGTACAGCAATGGCTTTATTATGTGAGGTTTCGAAGAAGCTTCCGTTGGTTTCTTTTCTGATCATCAGATCAGTATTTATGTCTTTGTCATGTAAAAGCTCACAGTTTCATTTTGGCTTCTCATCTCATTGACCGGCTGTTTTGGCCATGGGATTAGGTACATCCTATCAGCCTTCAACGCTTTGGTAATATATTTAAGTTAAGAAAAAGAAAAAGGAAAACTAAAAGGTAAATATAAAAGATTGTAAGGGAATTTTTAAGGAAACTTAAGCCATAAGATTCCACTTTGGAGGACATAAATTCCAATGATAGGACGGACGGAATTGAGATTTATGGAATGAGAAAGGGTTACTTCTCATTGTATAATCCGATATTTTATATATATATATATATATATATATATATATGGACTGTGAGATTAGCACTTATTCTTTGATCAGCCAAAACAAAATGCCATTAGCAGTTGGTAAGAAATTTAAAGAGAAAAACGAGGATGTGGAAAGCACTGCAAGACAAAGGAATGGACCGAATGAGAAGAAACAAAACATCTCCAATATTCAAATTATTCAATATAGTATTATGCCCCAAAGTTGATACAAAACTCAGTCAGAACAAAGGAAAGCAAAACAGGCGATTTAGTTAATAATATTATACAAATCAATTGGACTCAGTCTCGAATTCATATATATAATCTCTATATAAAATCTTTGCTATTATCTTGTAAATTCAAATATTTACAATCAGGACTTGGGTTATGGTGTTGCTATGAGCCTAGTGTTAACAGTCGCTTAATTAATGGTGTTTGTGTTGGACTCTCCCTGCAGACAAGAGTTTCAAGTTTCCAGTAAATGAAGTTCCAACTTGGGTTTAAATTTTGACAGCATTTCTTTGCAACCCATTAAAAATTTAATAACAACATGCTACAAGGATTAATTAACTCTTTATTTTAAACAGATCATGCCCATGTAGATGCAATATTTGCTAAAATCCAGGAAAATGCACTAATCATTATTATTTTTGCTATTTTTAAAATTTTATTTTTCAATTCATCATTTTTTAAATATTTTAAATTTATTCATTTTATCAATCATAATTAAAAGTTTAATGGATACATATGTCAGATTAACACCACATGAATATTCATATCGTACAAATTTAGCTCAAAAAATCAAAAGAGCTCACTTTTTTTTTTAAATCATGTAGACATCCACATGGATATACACATGAATTTTAGATAACAAATTTTGTCAAATTTTAATACTCTTTTCATTCTATAATGTTAGTCTTTTATTGACTTTTACGGATTTAAAGAAAATGTTTTGATTTTAATCTATACAATATTAAATTTAATTTTTTGCATCAATTTAAAATTTCACAATTTCTAATGATAAAAAAAACTCATATAAATAATTTTAAAATATAAAAAACTAAGACATTTAAGTATTAATAGGATATAATTTTGGACATTTAAAAAAGAAAAGTAGATAAACAAAATGAGATGGAAGGAGTACTAATTAATAAGATGAATGAATTTAAAATATTTTTAAAATATCATAAATGTAAAAATTAAATTTTAAAAATCATGAATAAAAATAAAAATATTGTTGAGTTTAAGATTTTGTTACCCCAAAAAAAAAAAATTGGGTAAGTGATAAAATGTGCTCCATACGTTACATATAGTGCATTTTTTTTTTTTCATTTTTGTGTAGTGTGATTTAAAAGTATTAAAAAAAATAAAATACACTTATGCACCTTTAGACGTATGGCTATATGTCTCCATTAAATTATTGATACGTTGGTGTTGACATTTACTAACCCTTATGGTTCACTTTTCAATTTTCAATTAATCTTGAATTATAAAATTAATGATCCTCGTGTAAATCCCAATAATTGTACCAATTATGAAAAGCAAATCCCATTAATATCTTTTATAAAATTGAAATTGCTAGGGAATGTAACATCAATCCTATTGATGAAGGGACATCTAAGTGTGACGTTTAAATTAATTACACCTCAAATCTTAATTAATTTCAACAGTTTATCATTCACCCAAAATAATTTTACAGCCTCGTCAAATCATAATAATAATAATAATAAATCTAATAACTTGACAATGAGGTTCATGGTTATGGTTAAGCTGTCATTGTTTTAAAGAATGAAAACTATGGTAGTGTTTATATTACTTTTTTTAGGAAAAAAATTATTGTAGCTGACATGGAATAAAAACTGTCATTCAAAGCAAATAAAATTAAATAAAAATAAAAAAAACTGTCTTAATCAAGATTTTAATTTCACCCCTTCACTTTATTATATCATCTTTCTTGACCATATGAATTCTCTATCTCATTCTCTTTTTAATTCTCTGATGCTTTCTTTTTGACAATATTTTTGCTCTTTTTTACAATATATACATGGCCAAGAACTAGCTGTGACTTTAGAGAGTAACAGGCCAGTGATGTTTACATGTTACAAGTGGTAGAAGATAAGTAATTAATAAAACAAAAAATTGTGTGTATATATATATTTTTTATTTATCTCTAGTGATTGCATTAGGTAAGGTAATATAGATTTGAATCGATTTAAATTTTATTTGATTTTATTAAATAATAAATAAAATTATAAATTTTTAAAATTTGATTTAAATTCAAATTCAATTTTTATATGATTCGATTCGTATTGAATTCCATTGATTTCATTTACTTATTGATTTTTAATTTTTTTATGTTTTTATATTTATTAATATAATTTTCAATATATTCAAGTAAATATAGATATGAAATAATTATTTTATTTATAAAAAATTTAAAATATATTTAAAATTAATAAAAATATATAATTTGATTTAGTTTGATTTTTTATTTTTTAATTTAAAATCTGATCCGAATCTAATATATATATTTAATATTTAAATTTAATTCAAACAAAATAAAAAAAATAAATCTGAATCAAAACCAAATATTATAATTTTAAAATTATTTTCAATTATTTTTATTTTTTCTACCTCTTGCATTAGTTCTTTTCTTCTGTTTTTTTTTTTAATTAAGAATTTTGATACTTTTTGGGTAGAATGACAGAAATACCCTCCCTCATTTCATGATGTGACATCCTGGTCCCTTTTTTATTACACAGACATGGAACCAAACTGGATTAAGCTGAACGCAAGGGGGAAAAGTCTTGCTCATCCTGTTTTTTGCCCTTTGCATGTTCATAAAAACAAACCAAACAAAAAAACACCACTGCTACGTACAACAACACTCTCTTCTGTCTTAAGAGCTTAGTTTCACTCAACAAACTTCGAATCAATTGTTTGTGACTTTGTTTCAGGGGTTTTCACTTAGATTTAATTTTTATTTTTTCATTTGCAGAAAACCCATTTTGGTTTTTTGTTTCTGGGATTGAAATTACTTGATTTCATGAAATGATTTTTTTTAATGTGGGTGCCCAGTGGGGGCAAGGGTGATAATAGCAAGTTTGTCTGGAAGTGAGTAAGAAGATACGAAATATAGAGAGAGAAGGGAAGGGAAGGGAAGGGAAGGGCCGTTCATGCTGCTCTCACGCACCATCCTATGTCGTTATGTGGCAAATGGATTGGGTCCACCGACCTGTAGGCCTAACCTTCTTCTCTCATCTCTCTCCTCCTTTTCTCTCTCTCTCAAACTCATTTAATTTTTATTTTGTAATTTGAAAGAAATGAGTAAAATCAGGTAAAAAAAAAATAATTTATTAAAAAGAAAAAGGAAATCTGCTGAAAGGGTATATGTGTTAGTGTATCTGCATGACACCAAATCAGAGAAGAAACATCACTTTGTTCACAATTTGGCCTTTAAAAGGAAGAGAAAGAAACAGTAGAGGAAAACAAGAAAAGCAGCAAAATGACCATAGGTTAGGTTTTGTTTTATTTTATTTTTTCTCCTTTCTCTTGAATCTTCAACTTCCTTTGATTTCAGTTTGTTTTTCAGATATTTGCCTTTTTAGGATTTTCATTAATCAATTCTACTCAAAAAGCTTGAATCCCCTGTTCTCAGCCTTTTCAGATAAGATTTCATAGACCAAACAATTTCAATGTGGTGTTGATAATGGATTTTTTGAGGAGAAGATATTGTAAGCTGAGACAGATATAGCAAAAAAAAAAAAACTTTTTGAAGAAAAGAAGTAGAAAACTGCAAGAAGGCCAGAAGGGTTTGTTTAGAGATGGCTGCATCTTCCTCCTCAGGGCCTTTCTTCGGAATTAGAGAAGAAGATCAAAACCAGATGAAGCAACACCATTCTTCAACGCCAACTTCATCTACAGGGCCGGCTCCACCGCCGCCTCCTAAGAAAAGGAGAAACCAACCTGGAACACCATGCAAGTATCTAATTTTATCTAATTATTCATATATATATATATATTTCACCAATTCAAGTAAAGAGAATTTCAATTTTATCCCAAGTTGTTCTTGCTTCCTTTCTTATATGTATATGTAAAGAAAGAGAAGAAAAGACACAAGAGGAAACCCTAAATTCTGAAATTTTTTGAGTGGAAATGGCAAGGGGTGAATGGTTTTTATTTTCTCCGGTAATCACCCCAAAAATTTTCATCCTTATTGTAATTAAGCAAATTTAGAATTATCTAATAATTTGTTGTTTTCTGGCATTTTTTTTAACTATGATAACAGATCCAGATGCGGAAGTGATAGCACTATCTCCCAAGACCCTAATGGCAACAAACAGGTTCATTTGTGAGGTATGCAATAAAGGGTTCCAAAGGGAGCAAAACTTACAGCTCCACAGAAGAGGACACAACCTGCCTTGGAAGCTAAGGCAGAAAACAACAAAAGAAGTGAAGAGGAAGGTTTATCTCTGCCCTGAGCCCACATGCGTCCACCATGACCCATCCAGGGCACTTGGTGACCTTACTGGCATCAAAAAGCATTACTCAAGAAAACATGGTGAAAAGAAATGGAAGTGTGAGAAGTGTTCCAAGAGGTATGCCGTGCAATCTGATTGGAAAGCTCATTCAAAGACCTGTGGCACGAGAGAGTACAGATGTGACTGTGGCACTCTCTTCTCAAGGTAGTTAATACAATCTATAATCTATAATCGCTCCTTCACATATTCCCATTCACCATCTTCTCCTTTTATTTTTTTGGTTTAAGGCATCGATAACAAGACAGGCTCTATCTGTAGCTTATGTGCTGTGTTCTCACTGGCACACAAGAAACGGAAGAGGCGTTATAATTTCTGCTTGGCCTGTTGTTTGGTTAGCGATTAGATTCCTCAGGTGACAAGGGATGGAAAAGTTTGATGCTTTTTATCTCTTTCCGTTTGGTTTTCCTGCAATTGAATCTCTCTTTCTCTCTCTCTCTCCTTCTCATATCCCCCCTTTTTATTTACCTTTTTTTTTTACTTTGAGTTTTCAAGTTCAAGTGGTCAAGATGGTGAGTGCAGAAAACAAACATGTTTCCACGTGAATAATCTGTTGGAAATGCCATTGGCAATAGACGTTCTATCGGCTTCTAGCCATCAAACAATTTAAACCCTCCTCCAAAAAAGAAAAAAAAAAGGGAAAACAGTTCATTTTTGTTTCTCCTTGGAACCACCGCCCCTTTTCGTTTTCACTTTTTCCTATTCACGTGCTGCTATGCCATGTAGAGTTTGCTGTGTTGTTGTTGTTACCACGTTTGTTCTCTTGTGGGTTGGCTAGATGTGTTCAGGTCTGTGCTCTTGCAGGTATCCCTTTTCGTGATAACGTTAGCCTCTCAACTCTAACCAATCTCCCTCCCTCTCTCTCTCTCTTCGAGGTTCTAGCTTTGAATCTTTGGTCTTTAGGGAATTGCAGTCTCAACCATGGGATGGATAGATTCAGCCTGATAAGAGAGTCGATTGATTTAGGAATTTAAAAAGCACGATAGAAAAAAGTGAAACCCTGATAGCTGTTTTAGCTTCTTGTTTTAGAAAACGATTCTTAACTGGAAATCAGATACATTTCATGAGTTTTGCATTAATTGAAAACAAAGTCCCGAATTGGGCTTCTTGATTGATCACTTTTCACTTGCTTGAATACATTCCCTTGTTGCATTTATTGAACACCCAGTTCTTGAAATGGCAGTTCATGCAAGATTGATTAATCATTTTTCAAGTTTTAGTGAAATTCTTTTGACCTACCCTCTTCAATTATGTTTCTGTCTTCTAGGCATATTTTAGTTAATTTCCCTTCTCTACTTCCTAGCTTCTACTATCTTTTCACCCTATATTTTTTTCTGTTACCATTTCAGCATTGCTGCCTGCTAATCTCTATCTCTTGTTGCTTTAGGTTTTCTAAACTTCAACACTTTTAACCTTTCCTGTTGTTTCCCAAACCCTAATATACTTCTCAGGATTAGTATGATATGACTTAGGATCCATTCAACAGCTTTGTTCCAATAGGGCTGCTTTTCAATGTAAGACTTCTTTTTTTCTTCTTAATTTTTGGGTCATAATAATATCAAACAGATGAGACAAACAGAAAAAAGTTGGGAGAAAAATGAATTGAAATAGTCAATTAAGCTAATGAAAATTTTAATTTCATTAATATTCCATTAATCAATAGGCATGGTTTCATTATTTCTAACGTCTCCTTTAGGTAGCTAGTCATACCCATGATTAATTGATTGAAATAATTTCCTTTCCAAGGACTAACTTTCACAATCTTATAATTTGATGTTTTAAACATTGCAGACACGAGTTTCTGTTCAAGTTTTGTTTTTTAACTCCCTTTTCAAACCGTGTCCTTTCTTTTGTTTTTCCTACTACCTGTCAGCAGGTTATATAATGGGTTCCTACTGTTGTAACTGTTGCAGGCGTGACAGCTTTATCACTCACAGGGCATTTTGTGATGCACTGGCTCAGGAAAGTGCAAGGCACCCTCCTTCCTTGAACTCCATTGGAAACCATTTATATGGAAGTAGCAATATGAGCTTAGGCTTATCTGATGTGGGAACTCAAATTTCATCGATACAAGACCAAAATAATCAGACTGGTGACATTCTAAGACTTGGTGGTGGTGCCAGGAGTACCCAATTTGATCATCTTCTCCCTCCATCAATGGGATCGTCATCGCCGTTTCGATCTCAACAACCAATGGTTTCTTCAGCTGCTTTCTTCATGCAAGAATCTAACCAAAATTTCAATCAAGAACATCAACCTCAACAAGGATTGTTGGGAGACAACAAATCATTCCAAGGACTAATGCAGTTTCCTAATATGCAAAACAACACAAGCAACAATCCTTCAGCAGCCAATCTCTTCAACCTTAGCTTCCTTTCCAATAGTAGCAACACAAACAGCATCAATAACAGCAACAATGCCAATACAGCCAACAATTTAACATCTTCAGGTTTGCTAATCTCTGATCATTTCAACAATGAAAATAGTGGCGGTGGGACAAGCGAAGCCTCAAATCTCTTCTCAAACAACATAATGGGCGATCAAATCACCTCCAACATCCATTCTCTCTTTAGCTCATCGGTTCAAAACAATAAAATGGTACCCCAAATGTCAGCCACCGCATTGCTTCAAAAAGCAGCTCAAATCGGCTCAAGTTCAAGCAACAACAACAACAGCGCCTCTCTTCTGAGAAGCTTTAGTACCTCTTCCCCAAGCGGAACCAAACCCTTAAACATTGGAGGCATTTTGGTAGATAGCACTGGCAGCAATCTACATGAACTAATGAACTCCATAGCAAGTGCTAATTCCTCCATTTTTGGAGGTGGGTCTGGTGGAGTCAATACATATAGCACTGGACATGGTCAAGAAAACCCTTATATAAATAGAAGTAGAATGGAACAAGAAAAGCAGCAACAGCAGCAAAATTTGAATGTTAGCGTTGGTGGGTCAGACAGATTAACTAGAGACTTCCTTGGGGTTGGGCAAATAGTCAGAAGCATGAGCGGAGGAGGGGTTTCTCAAAGGGAACAACAGACACAGCAGCAGCAGCAACAACAACAACAACAACAACGAATGGGGTTAAGCACCTTGGGTTCAGAGAGAAATACTAATATTACGGCGCCGACAGGCCAACGATCGTTTGAAGGAGGTGGGAATTTTCAGTGACGAAAGAAAGAAAAAAAAATATATGAAGAAAGTACAAAGGTACGTAAAATATTTGTGACGTGTTAAAAATGATTAAAGTTTTACTTTCAGATTTCATTGGTAAATGTGTCTTTAATTTACTGTCTTTTGGAGTTTGGATTTTTGTTTTTGTGTTTTTTGAATTCTCTGACATACTGTCTTGCATGGGGCAGTCATGAGTTGTACTACATATGGCTCTTGTTTCGTTTCTTGTCTGTTTGTTTTTATTTATTTATTTTTTTAATTTTATGGGCTGGCAGTGTCACGAGTGCCGCTCTCCAGAATCTAGATGCCAGACATCAATGATCATCCTTTTCTTCTGTTAATTATTAGCTTTTCTCAAGCACAATTATTTTTTACTCATTGAAATTTACACCACAAAAAACATTGGAAATTTTGAATCCTTTTACTTTATTTTGCATAATTATGCTATAGTAATAGTTTTATGGATTATTATCAAAATCATTTTTCTTATTTTTTCTTGACATCCAAAATTTAAGATAAGTTTAATTTAAAATTTAACATAATCAATTCATGAAATATTTTAAAATAATATATAATAAATTTACATTTTAAATTTTAATACTTATAACATATTTTAATCATATTCGATTTTTATTAAAAAAGTGCGTTCATGACTATGATTATACAATAGAATAGCAATACATAGGAAATTGTGACAGTAAAACTATTATTGTTTATATTCCAAAATTGAAAGCTATCATTATACAAATTTATTTGCATGATTCTAGATATTTTGATTACAAAATTTGGTGTTTTTTTTAATCAAATAAATAATTAGCATATACTTGAAGCATCATCCGATGAAGGTGTGACATTTCTAACTGTTAGGTACAAAGTTTTTTACTCTATGCAGAAAAAGTTTATGTAAAATAAAATTATTGTACTTTCTTCGTTAATGGAGTACCATTTTAATTAGAACAATGTAGACAAAACAAAATTCATCATCTTTAACCTTAAGTTCAACAATATTTCTTTCAATGTAGTTGATTTGAACATGAAATCTTTATTTGAATTTCATCTCACCTAGCTGAGTTAAATTCTAATGACTTCTTTTTGTATACTAATTTTATAAAATTAAGATATAATTAGAAGTTATCAGTGATCGACATCTTTTTTTGAGATAAAAAAAATGTGATTAGTACTTTATTTATTTAACTTGTAGCCACATGAAAATCAAATTTGTTTCTTTTCCACCATATTGTCTTGTCTTAGATCAGAGTTATCACAGAAATGGCAAAGAGGAACTCTACCATGCAAGAATATAATTTTATTTCCCATCTGCTGCATAAATTCTGACTTTCATTACCTTTCAGATTGGTCTACTTATCAGAAGATCATATATTGAGTTTTTCTTCTCTTGTCATATTATATATAAGTTTGATACAAACAAATTAAATTGTTTGCATCTTGGATTATTGGGTGTTGAGTTTTCCCTGGTGTTAGGGGCTTAGGGCTGCTTGCTATGATCTTAATTATTAACTTTGGTTTTTTTTTTTGCAGATATTGTTCCATGGCAAGGCCTTTTTGCTCTTATCTGCCTTTTTTCGATATGTCAAGTGAACAACTTGGAGAAGTGGAGGCCATAGGGGTTTTCCGAACCTGATCATCTGATCATCAATCAGCAAAGGCAGCTAATGAACCCTTAAATTCTAAGCTGTACTTGTATGAAAACTTTCTTTCTTCCCTTCAACTGTTAATTGGGAATGAGTTTCCAATCAGTCCCAAGCTACAATCTTTTTCATATTGTGGATGGTGACTTTAGCTAAACAAAAATCTTGTTTCCTTTTCAATTATTTCTATTTTGTGTCATCATTGTAGATTAAGGGATCAGATGCCGTTTCTTATTCCTCCGGATATGCTCTCAAACCAATACACATGCAAATATATCCTTTTTTTTTTCAAATATTATATCATAATAAATATTTCGCATTAATATTTTAACATATTTATGTACTTATTCGGTATGTTATAAGTATATGAGTGTGCAAATGCACGTACACATATAATTAGCATGAAATTGTGCTACAGATAAGTTTTTTTTTTTTTTTTTAAGAATTCAATTTAATTCTTTCGCTCATATTCATAAACAATGTTTGAAAATAAAAATTAAAAGAAAAACTCTTCAAACATGAAAATTTCAAAATCTATAAGTTACTCACGTGAAAAGGCATAATCAATTATCTCAATGAAAAACAATGCAATAATATATATGATATAGAAGTTTCCTGATAATTTAACATGTGACCTGTATATCTGTACAGGATGAACTAAATCCCTGATGAATTGATTCTTTCAATATTAAAGGGCCCTAGCTAGTATAATTTCTCCGGTACCCTGCTGGCCCCTTGTAGTTGTAATTATTCCATGGGGAATGTAATTTTTTTTTTTAATATTATGCATTGCACCGAGAATTAGTAAGATTTTATTAAAAAAAATTTTCGAAAAAACTTTGATTGATTAATTGATAGATCAGTACCTCTGCCATGGGATCGATATCTAAAAATAATTCCCATCAGACTTGTTAAATAAAATGGAGTCACATGGAAAGGAAGACAAGAAATACTGGGGAATGTTTCCTGAAAATGTCAACAACTACCATAAAATCCGCATTATTCATATATGCCTCCAATCCTTGCTCTATTATATTGTTCAAGTGGTGGGTTACATAATGAAAATCATACCATTCCCCCCTCTTCCTTTCATATCTCTCTCTCTCTTTCTCTCTCTCATCTCACATATTCTTTTCAATTAATACCAATAAATTAACTTAAGTTGTGTACTTATTTTCCCTTTTCCCTTGTCTTAATTAAATGCCCTCTTGGTAATTAATTAGCGTTTAAACTTGTAAATGGTAGGAATTATGCATTAATTGAGACATAAGTTCGTCCTACATTTATTGTCCAAAACTGCATATAGTTAACATCCTGTTATAATATGAATACAAAATTAAATTCAGTTAGTTCATTCAATTACATTTAAAAATTAATATTTAGTAGGTATGTCGTTAAGATATCAACACCTATAATACCTTATTCTATTTTCATGTTATAACTTTTTTTAATAAAAAAATCAAATTAATATCAAGAATAATGATTTTTCTATTTGGTCACTTTAACATTTTTCTTTCAGACCAAATTATAGTTAATGGTGTTCAATAAGTTTTGATTGTTCAAAAAAAAATTTTTTTTTTCTTTCAGACGTAACACTATATAGTTTGGAATAACAAAGGTTGCAATATTTCATATAGTTGCTATCTAATTTCGTTAATTATATTGTTTTTGATTGTGAAGATACATACGCAATGTCCACCTAAATGTCCAAAAATCCAAAAACAAATTAAAAAAAAAAAGAAAGATCAAGGACCGAGCTAGTAGATTAATGTTGACCACAACCTTTTGGTGTCCCTAAGATTCAGGTAAAGGCATCAAGCGATATTTTTTTCTGGTGACATTGATTATGTAGTGAAGATCAAATATGAGAGTTGAAATCCCATGTCCGCATGCAATTTTCTATACTCCAATGGTCTAAGCTTCAGGGACGGATCAAGAATTTATGATTAGTGAAGTCAAATATTTTAATTAATTTAAAATTTTTTATTGAAATATAAATTAATATAAAAAATTATAGATAAAATCAAGATGTATAACATATTTTTTATACATGAAAAAATTTTTTCCGTAAAAGTAATTTTTGTATAGTTAAAATAATTATATGATTCTTAACAAATATAGCTGAAACACTATTTGAATAAATAAATTTTCAATATAGAAACACATATATTAATTTAATAAAATTTTACTAATAAAATTTTTAAAAATAGATATAATATGTGAAAGAATAATATAAAAATTAACATATCTAATTTTATTATTCACTTTTAATATGTCTAGTTTTATCATTTACTTCAAATAAACGAACATATTTTATTTGTTATTCATTATAATTTGAAGAATAAAAATTGTCTCTTTTCTTACATATAATGAAAAGAAAAATAAAGATATAAATCTAAATGATTTTTTTTTTTAATTTTTATTACTTCACATTTTATATGTTACTTTTTTCTTGTTAAATAAGTGGTTAAAACCATATAAATAGTATAAGCTCTAAGTTTCACTACTCTTATAAGATCACCTCATATTAATCTAAATAAATTATAAGATCACCTCATGTTAATCTAAATAAATTATTAGAAGGAATTTGAAATTTAATAATTTCAAACTCTCTAAAAGGAATTTACTTCTCTTTTTTTTTTTTACAAACTTATAAATATATTATAACAAAATTGTTTAGCACCCAAAGAATCAGTGTTCAATTACTAGATAAACAATAAAATATTTTCTTGTATGAGCCTTAATTTAGTGTGGGCAAATTTGATAACAATATTTTTAGTGGGGGTAAAATTTTAAAATTTCAAAACTTTTGAGATTTTTTTTTTCAACAAACCTAAAAAAATTTAGAAACTCAGTGGCGGCAGCTGCCCCCTCTGACTACTATGTACATGTGTCCCTGCTAAGCTCCCTCATTACATGATAAATTTAGAGCAAATTTCAATCAAGTTTAGTGTCTCATGGCAAGTAGGTGAATAATCAATTTTTTTTAAGTTGCTATGCTTTAGATTATTAGTGCCAGAACTCAGTATTAGGTTTAATGAAACCCTTTCAAAATAGCAAATTAGAAAAAGAAGTCGCTACTCTTGTGGTTTCAATTTCAAATCTGATAATTCTGTAGTCTTATCGTTCTCTCAAGCTCACATTTCCATGAGATATTTTCACATTTTTTTAGCTATACGAAATTTTGTAAGTTGGATTTCAAAAAATCCAAGTCAAGAAGGAGATTAGTTAAGTCTGGCTTGATTTAGGGTTTACTTAAATATATAAACCCTTTATGTTTTAGATCTAATAGTATTATATCATCATCATATATGGTATACTAAACTTAAGTAACAAGACCCTGTCTAGTTTGGTAAAAGTTGCTGTCAAAAGCATTTGAAGTTAATTTCAAACAAGAAAGTTAATGCTCTTATAGATGTTAATAGGGTTTGCTTATCAGACAGATAAGCTGCAATTAATGCAGCCTCATTTTAACCAGTTTCACAATAAAATTTGCTGCTTATTTACATATGTGATAAAAAAACCATTAAATATAATTTTCTTTACAACCAATCTAAAAAAAAAAAAAAATCCATTTGCATTTACTGTATTTTTGAAATGAAAAGTTTATAAATGATGATTGTTTCCTTTGTAGAAAGTTAAAAAATTAAAAGTGAAAGACTGTTCATGTATTTTCTATTTTGGAGGAATAAACTGTCAACATTTTGGCAGTCACGGACTAGTTGATTCCATAAAGTTAAAAAAATGACAACAATTCCGACAAAAGTGGCACATGAGTTTCCCAGTAATTACCATAACCAACAATTCTGGATGCTTTACTTGCTGTCTGTTGCTTCCTGAATTACAGAAAATTTCTGACCAGCACTCTCAGTCACCCGACCACTAGCTTCCGAGCAAACAGATATTATACATTTTTCCAGCACCTTAAAATAAGATTAAATTTATTTTAGCATAATATAAAGAAATCAACATCTGAACTTGGGTTTAATTCAGATATTTCATAGTAAGTTTTAAAAGATAAATTTTAAAAAAATTTAAATTTCAACACCTATAATCTTTTTTTTTTATTATTTTCATACAGATTTCAAAAAAAAAATTCATCGCCTACAATTAAAAATTATAATTCTATAATTTGAAAGTTTCTGATTTCAATCCTGGAAATGATACAAGACTCAAGATTACATGTGCCAAGAAATAAAAACCCTGAACTTCTTCATACGTTGCATTTTTAACAAATATCACTATAAGCAATGGATCAAGTCAACATAAGGAGGAATAAACTTTTATGTAAGTACAATGACAAAAAGAAAAAAGAAAAGAAAGGAAAAAATGTCCATAGAATGTCAACAAGAGACCTGAAGTTCGGCAGGTAAATATTTTTTTTGGTCTTTATTAATTAATTCCTAATATTTTAATTAGTATTGGGTTAGGTATTAGGTGGCCAAGCAAATTCTCTTTAGAAACTATAAATATATTAAAGAGAATCATCTGTTAATAAAATTAATTGATGGAATAATAGAGATGATAAAATTAATGAACGGCAAAGGAAATAAAATAATAATTCACTTGTCGAGTCTGTTGGAATGTAGTCAACATGTTAAGATTCTTGAAGTCATCGCTCTGTTGCCCTATTCTTTTTTACTATAATAATTCTACTCAGGGCTTACCTCATCTTCTTTCAACTCTATTCCCATATTCCAAAATATTATATATTTGCTTTTTTTTAATACTTTTATCATTATAAAAAAATATATCACGTGTTAATCATAATTTAATTCAGTTGAGTTAGATAATTTTTTTAAAAATATCATTCATATTTGATTTTCAAATTTTAATATCTTTAATCTCATTTTTTATTTTCTAATTACCATATTTTTTATATCAAAAAAACAAAGCGAGTTAAAAAAAAATAAAGGAAACTAATGAAAAATTCGATGTATATACTTGATTAAAATTAATTAAATAACTTAAATATTGCATTAATATCTTTTTGCCAGAGGGAAAAAGGAGATATATCAAATTCAAACATAATACAAGTAAAATCTCATATTATTTTATTTTTTAGTAAAGATAAAAATTCTAATTTTTAACTTTTTAAAGAAGAACATATAGTAAAAGTAATTCTGAAACTTTCGGGCAAACTGAAATGACTACGAAATTTCCATGTAAAGTGACTCTGCAACCAAATGAAAGTGAGCTACTTAGGAATATAGTGGGGAAAGAGACAGAAATAACTTTTTTTTTTTTGGTTCTTACCATCTCTGTTTATGGCGGAAATGAACGACAAGAGCATGCAAATTACGAAAATAACTTGATTGAATCTAGCTAGAGTAAGCCATAAAACACTTTAGGAATGAAACCCTAATTCAAAAAACGAAGAGAAAAGTTTTCCCTACATATTAACCCTGCAAAGCTAGCTTGCCTAGCGCTTAGACAAGTTTTGCACTACCAAAGTGTTGGGTTGCTGCTTGAGCTGATGACTTCACGTCGGGGTCCAAAGAGCTAATATTAATCCCATGTTGACGTCCACCAATGTTTCTTACCATTCCTCCAACACCTAGAAAATCCAATGTTAACTTAGCCTCATTAACGTTGCAAAAGTTGGCATTATTGTTCTGCTGTTCAATTGTCATCCCACTACCACTGAACCCTCCGAAGTTGCTATGATCTTGTCCATGGCCGGCCCCGAAAATGGAAGAGTTACCATTTGCAAGAGAGTTCATTAGTCCTTGAAGATTACTATCGTTCTCCATCTGTGATCTTAGAGTTTCAGTTACACTACTGCCACCGCCAAAATTACTGCCGAAGTTAGCGGATAAAACTGGTCGATCGGATTTAGTCCCACTTGATGAAGAACTTCCCAATCCCCTTAGCAATGAGGAAGTGTTGCTGCTTGTAGTTGAACCCATTTGAGCAGCTTTTTGAAGCAATGCAGTTGCTGACATGTGTGGAGAAATGTTCTCATGTTGCATTGAGGTGCTATAAAGAGAGGAGAGTCCTGAACCAACCTGGTCACCCATGCTAGTAGTGAACATTCCTGTCCCTTGACCACTACCACCTGCATTCCCACTGTTAAACTGATTACTGCCTAAAAATCCTGAATTCGGTAAGTTGGCGGATGCACCGGCATTTTCACTGGTACTTATGCTGCTTGCAGCGCTGTTATTGGAAAAGAAGCCTAAATTGAAAAGATTGGCAGGTGCAGCCGGATTGTTAGTATTGCCTTGAAGGTCAGGAAGTTGCATAAGACCATGTAATGGTTTGTTTAGATATGATCCATGCCCATGGTGAGATTGGTGGTCTTGATGAAAACCTTGGTTTGCCGCATCAGGCATGAAGAATGCAGATGTTGGCATGTTTTGTAACGAAGAAGGATTGGATGGTGGGATAAGGTGCTCAAACTTCGCTGCTCCAGCGCTTCCCAACCGCAATATATTAATCGATGGTTGATTCTGGTCTTGCAATGAGGGAATTTGGGAGCCCACTTGTGATAGTCCTAAACTCATATGATTACTTCCAAATAGATGATGACTACCAATTGTGCTGAAGTTGGTCGGATGTCTTGCGCTTTCTTGAGCCAGTGCATCGCAAAAGGCCCGGTGAGTGATAAAACTATCACGTCTGCAGCAAAGATATAGTGAAAAGATAAAAATTGTTAGTCAACTTTGATTAATAAGGCCGAAAGTCAAAGGGGTTGAAAATCTAGCCATTGTTGTTAAGAAATGAAAGTAGTATGGTAACCAAGTTTGAACATTATGTGGTTACTGGATTTAGTCCACAATATGCTTGACGCATGGGGAAGGGGGACCATTGAATTGAAGATCATGCACGACCATTAGCACGAATTTCCAGCTTTTTTCCTTTTGTTTCTCAATTGAAAAGAAAAAAGAAAAAGGGTGTCTAGAAACAAAAAATCACAAGAAAAATAAATAATCTGATGATAGAAAACTTCATCTTATTGAAGCAATGGTGCGAATTAAGGTGGAAAATGGGACCGATCAACAAGTGAAATGAAATGTAGGGAAGATTTTATGAAGTATGGAGAATAAAGTAGAGCAGGAAACTGAAAGATAATTTCAGTTTTATGAGAAAAATAAAAGAAGGGGATAGAAATTCTTAGCTTTATCTGAAAAATGATAAATTAATTTGAGGTTCAGTTACCATTTTGAGGAGATAGTGTTTAATAAATGAAGTGGGGATATCATTTCCCGGTTGATGAAAAACCAGAAATCCTACAGAAGCCTATTAATTTCTGGGACTTTCTGCAATAAATAGAAAAAAACCTGAACAGTTGTCTATCATTCATGCAAAGAATATTTTTCCATAACCGTGAAAGCCATAAATAATATGACAGAATTTGACAGAATATTTTCAGTCATAGCCCAATGCTTCACCAATAAGACTTCGAAAAAATGAATGGTAAAAGCACAAATTTTGTCAATCTTGAGATATATAAAATTGCTGCACTAAGGAATCAAGAATTGTCCTCGAACTGCTCAGCAAGAGAGAGAGAAAGGGAAGAGCCCCACAGGCCAGAACGCTAACGTTTTTTTTATTATTATTTTTTTGTGATAACAAGAGGTTGGGCAAAGGCAAGGAGTTAGCAGCAAAGGCAAATGGAAGAAGAAAACAAGGGCAGTAAACATATACAAAACTCACATGAGAACAAATCCAGTAACAATATCCCTCCTGACAACGTATAAATTGACAACACGTGAATAGGGAAAGATGTAAAGCGGTGTTACCGAAGGAGAAAGAAAGAAAGAAGGATGAAATTTTGTTTTACTTTTTGTTTCTCCCCCTATCGTTCAGTGTTAGTAATAATTTTTGCAGTTTTATTTTTTGTTTTGGTTGCCTTGAATCCTCATCAGCCATGGCAGTTTCGCAGATTATAATTCACGTGCAACCAGTCCTTTAAGAGTTTAAAGAGAAGAAGAAGAGAGATCTAGTTTATAGAAAAGTAATCCAAAAAGGTGAAACAAAAGAACGGGCTTTTTCTCTTCCCAACTCCGTCCCAACTCTTTCTCAAACACTCTTTTCTTTTCTCACACGATAACTTGGTTTGTCAACTTTCATAACCTAAGAGAAAAAAAAAAAGGAAAAGAAAAGAAAATTTTATTTTAATGATTGTGTAAATGATTAATTACCTTGAGAAAAGAGTGCCACAGTCACATCTGTACTCTCTAGTGCCGCAAGTCTTTGAATGAGCTTTCCAATCGGATTGCACGGCATACCTCTTGGAACACTTCTCACACTTCCATTTTTTCTCACCATGTTTTCTTGAGTAATGCTTTTTGATGCCAGTAAGGTCACCAAGTGCCCTAGAGGGGTCATGGTGGACGCAAGTGGGCTCAGGGCAAAGATAAACCTTCCTCTTCACTTCTTTTGTAGTCTTCTGTTTTAGCTTCCAAGGGAGGTTGTGTCCTCTTCTGTGGAGCTGTAAGTTTTGCTCCCTTTGGAACCCTTTGTTGCATACCTCACAAATGAACCTGTTTGTTGCCATTAGAGTCTTGGGAGACAGTGCTATCACTTCCGCATCTGGATCTGCTTTGAGAAATGCCAAACAACAAATTATTAGAAAAATGGTATAGGAAAAACAAATAAACACAAGACTTAATTGAGGGAGGAGAGAAAGAAGAATCATTTCAAAACAAAAAAACAATGTCCAGAATAAATTATGGAGAAAACTGACGAATTTTTAGATTAGGGTTCATTGGATATTCTTTCTTTTTGATTTAAAAATGAATGAACAAGAACAAAAACCTTTTTTTATTAGTTTTACTCATTGGATACATGTGCTAAAAGCCTAAAAAAAACCATAACAGATGTATGTAAAGAGAAACTTGCTTGGTGTTCCAGGCTGATTTCTCTTTTTCTTCTGAGGTGCCGCTGTTGGAGCAGTTGATGAAGTGGGCGTGGTGGATGATAGTTGTTGTATCATCTGGTTTTGATTGTCTTCCCTGGTTCCAAAGAAAGGTGTGGATGATGAAGATGCGGCCATCTTCAAAGATTATATAGCTATTAATTGTTGCTTGCTTGCTATCTTTTCTTGTTTCTCGGGGCAAGGCTACCTGCTACTTCTTCAATTCTTCTTCTTTTTCAGCACCACCAAACCTAGAATCCAGAAATCACCCAAATTACCACAATCGGCATAAAAATTTCAGCTTTCCCTCCTATTCTTTATGGAAAGAAAACCAAAATAAAGGGTTCTTGCCATAGGAGAGAGATGTTTTACAATCCCTTTAGTCCCCCTCTGAAAATCTTTGCAGATATCAATCCACTAAGAAACAAGAAGAAGAAAAAAAAAAACTAAAGATAAAAACCCACAAAATACCAAGAAGAAAGTATATAAGGAGACAGCTACAATCCGGAGTTGAAGAGAAAGAAAACAATCAAAAGTATAGACTTGCCTCTCCTCTTTCAGCAAATTGTTGTTTTTTGATTTATAAAATATGACTTACACTTACAAACTTAATCATTTCATGTCAATATATACATAAACAAATACGTACATGTTTACATATGCAAACCCATCTCTCTTTCTCTCTCTTTCTTTTCTCTGGTGTATTCTTGTAGTTGTATTTCTCTCTTTCTCAATACTTTCTGTTGTAGCAGTAGAATATAAATTTTCCCTTTTGTATTTTGTATTTTTTACATTTAGAAATGTGTATTTTGAGAGAGTAAATTAAGGGATCGGAGGAGGACTGTTGGTGTCATTGTTCATGCAGCGAAAATGTGTCGTTATGCGGGGGATGCTTTGGGGGCCACCAACCTGTAGGCCTTACCCTCTGCCCATCTCTCCTTCTCTTATTTCGTATCTTCTTTCCAGCGTCAAGACAAGCCTCCCTTTCGTCATTCCATCACGGCAACACTGTTCTTACAATATTTTTTTTTCACCTTATTTTTTAAAATTTTTTTATCACCCTCCATTAATTTTCAATGGATTTTTTTGGACTGTGATATTCACTTCTGAAAACTTTTTTCTATATAATTTTTTGGATTTGTTTTAAAAATATCTACCATCAACATACCATCAAAAAATTACTAAATTTATCGTATATAAGTCCATCTAAATGTCAAATGACATAATTTGTTTATATTCTAACATGTATTAACCGATTAATGAATTTCGAATAAATTATTTGAAACGTTACAGATTAAAAATTTTAAAATTTTAAGTTATGGACGAAAATAAAATACTACAAACAAATTACATAGAATAATAATGCAACTGAATATACTTTTTTTAGTGACAATTCCATTCTATCTGTCATCATAAATAGTGTTTTTTACTCATTGACTAAACACAGACAAAAACATGCTAAAATATTTTATTATTCATAAATATGTTCCTTAAAATATAAGAATCATTAACATCAGAAATAATTGTGCAATTACTCCTCTGAGTTTGCATTAATGGGTACATTTCTTAGCTGGGAGCCTGCGTTATAAGAAGAAATTCAACCCTAAATTACCTTCCATTGTCACTCTCATTTCATCCCATTGGATAGCTTCTCTTTTTTTTTTTTTTTTTCATACTAAATGAAAATCCTGTTGATGGTCAGATTAAAAGACATATAAGTATAAAAAAAATCTAAGATCTAAATAGTGTCATATTATAGTTGTAAATGAAAAAAAAAAGTATTTGATGAAAACAAAAATAAAAAAAAAGTATCATAACTTATAGATCCAAAAATCTATAACTGGACTCAAATGAATAGAGTCGCTACTAATCTTTTTTACTATGTGTGATTGGTCACCTAAATAATCTATCATCTTAAGAAACTCTTAAGCTTGACTAAGGGTCTCTAAAAGAATAGGTTCGGATCTACAAATCAGAACAGAATTCGAGAGTTCGATTACATGTAGAAAAGATTATAGCACCCCACATGCCCATCCAAAAGATGGTACCATTTTATTTTAAGTTTATCGTATGGTCTTGAATTTAATGGTTTCAAATTTTTATATTAAATATTAGAAATAATTTTTAAAATTCTCCATTAATCTGGTAGAACTCTTAAAATTTTTTTTCTTACCTCAAGAGTATTCAAGAATCTCATTTGATTCCTTGAAGAGGCTTCGTCGTTGAAAAAAGATTTAATTTTTATTTTATTTTTTTTAGATTTTTTTATTGAAAATATATCTAATTATTCCACTGTTTGGGTCAAATTAAAAATATTTTCTCTTTTGAATTTTTAAAATTTTCATCATTTGAGCCTATTTAAAATTTTTTTTCTTTTATTTTATTGGATTTTTAAATTTTCCACTATCTGGGTCAATTTAGAAATATTTTCTTTTTTTTTTAGAATTTCTAAATTTTTCACCATTTGGGCTTATTTAGAAAATTTTTTATTTCTTTTTATATATATTTTTTATTTTGGAAAGAAAATAATATGACAATTACTTTTTATTGAAATTTCATTTAAATTCTTTCACCATTTGTAATAAATTTTTAAAAAAATTTTCACCTAGGAATTTCTTAGGAATCTACCATTTGAAATTTTTAGGAATCTTATCATTAGATAATTATTAAATATTTTCAACCAAATTTGGAAAAGAATACAATTACTTTAATTGAAATTTCATCTAAATTATTCCACAATTTGGGATAAATTTAGAGAAATTTCTCACCTAGAGATTTTTTAAAAATTTACCATTTGAAATTTTTAAAAATCTCATCCTTGGGTAATTTGTACTTAATTCTAAAATTTTTATAAATATTTTTTATTTTTTATTTTTCTTCTTTTTTTTGTTTTGAAAATAAATATTAATTATTGTTATTAAAATTTTATCTAAATTATTTCACAATTTGGGATAAATTTAGACAAAATTTCTTACCTAAGAATTTTATAAAAATTTACCATTTGAAATTTCTATAAATTCCATCATTTGATAATTAATATTTATTCACAAATTTATTTTATTTTTTATCTTTTTTATTTTTATTTTTTAGTAAAATTAATCATGCAAAAATACTCAAAAAAATAAATAAATAAAGTGAAAAAAAACCCAAAACAGGAGATGGCTCAGCTTGGCATAGCTGCAGGAAGAAAAGTTAGAATGGTTTAAAAAGCGGTTCGGCTTGAGACAAAGACCGAAAAAAATCACCAAAACTTAGAAATTTTTTAGATTTTTTCAAAAATTTTTTTTTTAAACCCTAAAAAATCTTCGAAAAATTTTCTTGATTGCTTTCTCTGATTTTTTCCTCTCTATCTGTTTTTGTTTCTTTTGTGTGTGTTTATGTGATCTGTGTGGGCATGTATTTATAGGGTTCTAAATCTGAAAACTTCAATCTAGCAAGGAATCCCAATTTCCTCCGAATTTCAAACTTAAACCAAACTCCAACAATTTCACATAAACTCAACTACCTTTTTTTTTCATTTTTTTATTAGCAAAAGTAAAAAATAGACCCCTAGACAGATTGAGGTGTCTACAATTGCCCTTATTTGCACACTTTCTATGAAACAGAAATTGTGCAAAGATGTAGACAACCCAATCAACTTGACACATTTTTTTTTTTTTTTTTTTGAAAAAGTAAACAAACCTCCTATAAACAGAGACACCATAACTTTGAAAAATAAAATGCTTCTCTAAACAGAGGCATCATAACTTTTGAAAAACAAAATGCTCCTCTAAATAGAGGCACCACAACTTTGAAAAAATAAATTACTCATCTAAACAAAGGCACCACAACTTTGAAAAATAAATGCTCTTTTAAACAGAGGCACCACAACTTTGAAAAAATAAATTACTCCTCTAAACAGAAGCACCACAACTTTGAAAAATAAATGCTCTTCCACAACTTTGAAAAAATAAATTGCTCCTCTAAACAGAGGCACCATAACTTTAAAAAATAAAAGACTTCTTGACAATCATGTCCAGAGGAGTCGTAGATCGTGTTTGATGAAAACTTAAAAATTCACAATTTGGGTTTGAAATTCAAAGGTTTAGATTCATAAAAACTTTTCAGCTTTGTCAAAATTCACTGAAATTTGATTCTTAAAATTTTAGTTTTGCCAGATCTCAAGATTCACATTTGCAAATTGTAAGATTCGCATCCAACATTTAAAGATTCTCATTTGAATTTTGAAGATTCACATCCAAAAGTTCAAAACTTCTCATTCGAGTTCAAGGATTCTTATTTGATAAATCTTAGGGTTTCACACCTCAAAGATTATCATTTAAAATTCAAATATTCTCATTTGAGTTTAAAGATTCACATTCGATAAATTTTGGGTTTCACACCTCAAAGATTCTTATTTAAAATTTAAAGATTTACATTCGAAATTCAAAGACTTTCATTTGAGAACTTAAAAAATTCTCATTAAAAGATTCATAATTTCTTTTTTAAGTGACTCAAAATTGTGCATGCAATGAATGTCATGATCAATGACGTAAATATTTTTTCAATAATGCAAATGTAACAATCCAGATTCTCACAATGCCATATTCTGAACCATAATTCAAATGCTTATTGCATAATGCAAATGCATATCCAAACCAAAGTTTTAAACATTTTCAAAAAATAATGCCAACGTAATGCATGTAATGCGGATATCAATGTCATGAAATTCTAATCAAAATGTGATAATATGGTCCACAAGACTCCATCATCTCACATTTTCTTCTTGTTTAGCTTTTTAACACTTTGGAACAAGTTTTATCAACTAATCCTTATTATTTCCATCACCTGATCACAATTCATAGACCTCTTAGCACTAGCGATTCCAGAATAAATTTTGTCTGTAGCCGTATATCATTTAAGCACAACTCACAGGCCTTTTAGTACTAACCATATTAGAATAAATTCCGTCTTTTGTCACTTGATCACCAATCATAGGTTTCTAAGCATTAACTATTTTAAAACAAATTTTGCCCACTAGTCCACATTAATCTCACAATTTGACCATAACTTATCGGTTATGTTAATCAATGCATCCTCATGTCCATCACTTGGTCATATTACCTTTTTAGGTTTTTTACATTTTTTTCATTTGTTGACCAACCCATCACCATATTCATCATTTGGTCACACCATGCGCCTTCTCAAATCATCTTTTTTAAGTTTTTACCATATCTTTTTTTTCCTTATTATCTTGGATTTTTTTTTAAAAGAATGTAAAACTCTTTTATGCATATTGTCATTCATTCATCATCATTTCAAATCATGACAAACATAATGTAACCATACATTTTTTCGATTTATTCTAGGGATACAACAATAAGGGAGCACAAGAAGAATTGAAAAAAAGGTAATCAATGAGAAATGAGTTTGGTACAAAAATAATTAGGCAAAAGATCAAATTCAAAACATGACCTTGGGAATAGTATTGAACAAATGGAGTAATAATATCCAAATATTGAATACTCAAACAATTCTTAACATTAATCCAAAATTCTTTTTAAAAAACCCATTCCATTGACTTTTGAGATAATTTTTGAGCTCATTGAACTTTGTCCTAG